AATTTCCTCAGGATCAATCCACGAGGGGTCAATCAAAGAGAGAATCAGAGAAAAACTAAAGCCAAATAAAGCCAAGAAGCTTCTGAAATTAGAAAAGACCCATCAAGCAACCGACACGTTTCATCATCTCAAACGATAAAAGCTAGAGCTTTGATATATATAAAAAAAAAACAGAACACACATATGTGTATCCAATCAAACACCACAAAATTAAGAACACAAAAGCATAACCATAACCGATAAGAACATCAACGAACTAGCACAAGAGACCCATCATCGAGCAAATCCAAGTTAAATCACAGATTGACATCAAAGTCACCACAACAGAGGTTAAGTCGATCCGAAAACGAAAAGGAAGAATTGAAATACAAAAAAAGGTCTCACCTTGCTCTCAATAAGGTTAACTTCATCGCTCCCAGCCATGGAAAAAACAAAAAAAATCTCCTGATATTACCAATCAAACAGCACAGAGATACGAAAGCCCAGATCGAATTTTTTCCCCTCACGATTTCGACAAGAAAGGATGAAAAGGGAAATCTCGAATCACTAAACGAGTCTCGATGGGTTAAGTTTTTTATCTGGAAATAGAAAGATACCTGCTTTTAAACTCCAGATCAAATGGTTTAAGAGTTTAATACGGAGCATAAGCACAAAGGGTTGATGTAATTAAGCCAAGAGGTGGTGGTGGATAAGAATATCAGCGTATTTTAGCATGAGTATGGCTTACAGACTATAACCTGCGCACAAAAGTCCAACGCGCCGGGGAAGGAGTAGAGAGTGTGTGACGAGTACGACTGTTGGGTGGACCTGAGGAAAATAAATAAATTCTGTTTTAACCTTTTAGATTGCTTCCACAAAAAGAAGAAAATTGATTTCAATATCTGTAATTTGTACTAGGAATAGGATTGATTCACACATCAAAATATTTTAATTAAATTACAATTGCCATCGAAACAGACAAATTTTGGTGGAAAAACTGTTCGTCAGACAAACATCTATTTAAATACAGTGAAATTTTTTTAAAAAAATTGATGAGTATATAGTTGGGAAATTGTTCATTTAATTCCTCAAGTATTTGTAATTGGCAAATTTATTCCCCAACTATCATGTGTACAGATTAAATCTTCAATTTAATATTGATTTTGCAAATTTAGGCATGAGAAAAGTTAACGTTAATGAAGAAACTGAAACGTTACCGTTGACTTTTCTCAGTCTAATTTTGCAAGGTCAACATAAACTAGATGAATTAATTTGCCAAATTAAAAGTTGTGGAATTAATCTACACAATTAAAACAACTTGAGAAATTAAATGATTATTTTTTATTTAGAAAATTATGATTATTTTCATAAATCAAAATTATTTGTAGAATACCATCAAATACATTTTTTATTATATTTTGTTTTCTAATAATCATAAATCAAAATTATTTGTAGAATTGCATCAATTACGTTTTTTTAAAAATATTGTTTTTATTATATTATGTTTTCTGTTTGAAATTTCATTGATATTTAATCAAAATTACAAAATCAATATACATAACTTTCGAAAAACAAATAACTTAAGCAGATATATGTGTTTTTAAAAATTTCAGGATTCAGGATGGGAATTGGAAATATGGGAATCCGATAAGAACGAAACGGATTTGGAAAATTTTCTTACCCAAAATCTTTTCTCAAACTCCCAGTAATTTGGGTAAAGATCAACTTCAAGACATATATTTGGATAATTTCGGAGAAATTCGAAATTTTTTGGAAAAATTAATAATATATATATATATATATATTGAACAGGTAATTAAGGTATATGATCTCTTATCTTTTCTTTTTCCGCACATGTTTGAATAAAATAAATAATCATGATTGATAAGAGAATAATCATCGGTTGATAAATAAATACTACCATATACTGAAAAAGATAGATGAAAATAAGTGAATTTAATGAAAATTATTTCTTCTAATAGAGTGATTATACCAATGACCGTATGATAGAAAAATAATCATTGGTTGATAACCAAAAAAATTGGCAGTAAAGAAAAAAATCACCGGAATTAACACACACATAATTTTTTAATTTTATTTACAACAACAGAAAACATAATATAATAAAAACAATATTTTTTAAAAAAATATATTATGGTATTCTACAAATAATCATGATTTATGAAAATAATCATAATTTTTTTTTAATAAAAATAATCATTTAATTCCTCAAATTTTTGTCATTATGCAGATTAATTTTCCAACTTTTAATTTGACAAATTAATTCTTCGAGTATATGTTGATTTTGCAAAATTGGACTGAGATATAAAGTCAACCGTAATATTTCTGTTTTCTTCTTTAACATTAATTTTTCTCATGTCCAAATTTACGAAATTAAAGCTAAATTGAAGATTTAATCTGTATACATGATAGTTGGGGAATAAATTTGCCGATTGCAAATACTTGAGGAATTAAATGAGCAATTTCTCGTATATAGTTGTACGCAAACAACTTGACGAAAATGATGGGTTTTTAAATTTGATTTTGAACTTGCAGGGCCAGTTTAAAAGAAAAAACAAAATGAGAGGAAACGACAAAAGACAAAATGGAAGAGAAGAAGAAAAAGGTTTTTGAGCACAAGCCGCCCCCTCCGGGAAGCACGTGACGTTGGAACGGGATCCGTTTTCCACTTCTAAATTACTACTCTGTCCCTGTCTTTGTTTTCGCTCATTATGGATTCTTTTTTTTTTATTTCTCCGAGTGTATTTCTTTATTTTCTTCGTTAACTAATGAAATACGACTAATGCATTTTTCTATTTTTAGAAACTTTTGTGATTGTATTTTGGTTTATAGGGTTCAGACTTTAGACATGTATGGTCTGTCTCGGGAGTTTACTACGTCTTAAATATTTGAATGATAATCATTGGTTTTGTTATTTTGGATTTTAATTGTAAATTATTGATATGGTTTTTATATATTGTTGCCGAAAAACTTGCATATTCTATCGATTAAAAAAATTAAAGTGACATAGTATAATAGTAGATAGAGGGCATAACGGTATATTTAAAAGAGCACTGACAAATAAGTATACAAGTTTCGCATTGGTATTGTATCTATATTTCCAGGAAACCTGAGCAACCTCCTAGTTTTGTTAAACAAAACAAAAGAATCTATTCAAACATAAATTCATCAAAACAGTCCACTATAATGGTCAGTGACAGTGAGAATCCATTCATCAAAACAAAATAATTGTTCTTTTTGTTCACTGGAAAGATATAGTATTAACACTGATTACGGTTCTGATACAAAACAACATCAGAAATGATCAAATACAATTAAAAGGGTCACAACATGTCACATGTGTATATATAAAGTAAATTTATTCACTATACAACATAATAATGTTCTCACTTAAGGTTTTTTTTTGAGCTAACGTACTTAGTTTTATTTTTATTTGTTTTCGAAACTGTTTGTTTCAGCTAATTTTTTTCAACGAGGATTATATAACTTTAGCTTTTACGAGATATCACGAAAATATCCGGAAGATAATGGATTTCGAATAAAAGTGCTTCCTGCCAAAAATATAAAAGATTTTTGGAAGCATTAGGGCTTGGGGGTCAACATCTATGAAAAACAGCTTTTATTAATTGTTTTTAATATTATTATACGGCTCAATTTGTAGATTGTTTTAAAGTTCTAAGTTATATATGAGTGCATGTGTCCTTATGGGATTTTAATATTACAACCTCATCTGTCCCTTTCCTCTTTTATCTCCTTTGTCTTCTTCCGTGGTTATCTCCTCTCCTCACTCTCTACCTTCCCCAATCGTTCTAAATGTTTTACCCAATTCTATAAAATTTGGAAAACCACTGTTTAATTTGACATGTTCATCTTTATTGTCATTGTTTCTTAGATTGGTATAAGATCAAGTAATAGCTAGTTTTTATGTTCTGATAAAAGAACTATAAACTATTCATTGGATAACATTCGTTAGTGGGTTGAAAGTTGAAACATGTTACTTTCTGTGGCAAGTTTAACTATTGCTTCCTATAAAACTCGAGACATTTTTACTGGTAAAGCTAGTGGTTATATACTTATTATATATGTTTTATACATTTATTATATTTTATTAATAAAGAAAGTACGTTGAGTCATTGTCCATTCGGACATCCATACCATAAGAGGGGATGAATCTTTGTAATATAATAATTATTTTGAGTGGGATATATCACTCTTGTCTGTATATTATTATTGAATGAAAATGATTTGCTCAAATCTTTAGCCTCTGAAGTATTTCTTCCTTTTAAGATATGAAAATCATATGATCAATGCATGGTGTTGGTGTAGACAGAATTGAAATTTGAAAAGAGTTCTTTCACTTTGACCAAAGGCTATTTTTTTCTAGCGGGCCTTTTAAATCTATCATGGCCCAATTAAAATGTTTTCTTTTTCTTTCATACGATGTCGTTTCACCGAAGAAGCTAAACGAAGTAACTAAACAAACTATGCAACAAGTGTCTGAAAAGTTCCCGCTAGAACCAACTATGCATCTGCAATAACTATGAAAGTCGCCGACGAAATTTACGACTGAAATCTTTCCAAAGCAATGGCTAAGAATCAATGTCTTTTAAACATCTGATTCACTTAAAAATAAGGTCAATTACTCTGAATTTTTTTATCTTGTTGTTAATATATTTTCCGGGTATGGGGATTTCAAGTTTCTTTGATTTTTGGGAATTTGACAGTGATTAAAGCATTCGAAATTGTAGGATCAATTTGGAGCTTCAAGAAACTAATATTTTCTCCTTTGTGCGTTGATTTTGGAAATTTCCGTTTATTTACTAAACTTTATAATTTTACAACCAAAGCTGCTTTATCCAGAACCAGTGGTTGATAGTCGCCGCTTCAAAAAATCTCTAATTTTGTTTCCCATTTGATGAATTCTTCATCTGAATCTGTATTACTGTTGCAAACCCTTATCTGGGTCAGCTTTCGTTTCTCACAAAAATCGTTGTTGTTGAATGGTCATGTTGTTTCATAGTGTGGGACTATCTCAATGTTCAAACCCACAAAAGTATATCGGACTCTTCCATAGTCATTACAGATGCATAGTTGGTTCATCTGAAACAGGGTTGTCCAGAAGAAGACAAGCGTTGGAGCAATTGGATTCGAACTTGTCTAGTGGAGACGAGAGATCTGCACTGTCACTTATCAAGGATCTCCAAGGAAAACCTGGCGGGCTTCGATGTTTTGGAGCCGCAAGGCAGGTAAGTTTTAGGCTTTTGTGTCATAAACATCAATGTCAATGGGAATCTTACCTTTGATGGAACCGATCTATGTTTTAGGCATTTGTGTCATAAATCACCAAGATTTAGTTTTGATCTTGGTCCATTGGAATGTATCATTTAAGTTTTCTGAAGCTTCTGCTAAACTGTAATCTGTATAATCAATGATTTGATCTCATATTCCTTCTTTGGCTGTGTGTGTGTTCCAGGTGCCTCAGAGACTCTACACGTTGGATGAACTGAAACTGAATGGTATTAACGCAGCTTCACTTCTATCGCCAACAGATGCGACTCTTGGTTCCATTGAAAGAAACCTTCAGATCGCTGGTGTCTCAGGAGGGATAGTTGCTTGGAAAGCCTTAGATTTGAGCTCTCAACAGCTTTTGTATATTTCTCTTGGACTTTTGTTCCTGTGGACCTTGGACTTGGTAACTACAAAGCTTCATGACTTACAGATGAAAACACTAACACATGTCTCTTCTTCTGTCCTTAATGATGCAAACCTTCTTATTATAGGTCTCATTTAATGGCGGAATTGGGAGTTTGGTTCTTGATACAATTGGTCATACGTTCAGCCAACGATACCATAACAGAGTTGTTCAGGTAAGACCTGCCTCTTCACTCTGCTTCAAATGTATCAGTCTAACTGCGAACTGAGATCTTCTACAAATGCAGCATGAAGCAGGTCATTTCTTAGTAGCCTATTTGGTCGGGATTCTCCCACGAGGATACACGCTCTCAAGCCTTGAAGCTTTACAGAATGAAGGATCTCTAAACATTCAAGCTGGCTCAGCTTTTGTGGACTATGAGTTCCTTGAAGAAGTACATAACCTCTCTTTCTTGTTTCTTATTCACTGAAGAAGCAGAAAACTCAATCAAAATCCAAGCTTTTAATACTTTCTTTCTCAAACCTGAAAATGCAGGTTAACTCTGGAAAAGTCTCAGCCACCGTATGATTTCTATTGCTTCCCAGTGAAAAAGTTGTAAACTTTTCTTTTTTGAAAAATCCGAAGCCTAACAAAAACGAGTGATTTACATTTTTTTTTTTCCAAAAAAAAAAACAGATGCTGAACAGATTCTCATGCATTGCTCTTGCTGGTGTAGCAACAGAATATCTCCTCTATGGTTATGCTGAAGGTGGCCTTGACGATATCAGCAAGGTCCCTTTTCTTTCACCCCCTTGAAAGTTGTAACACTTCTGATTATATGAATATACATATGATTAGCAAATTGTATATGCTTAATGGTTTTGTGGTGTTGATGGGTAACAGTTAGATGGTTTGGTGAAGAGTTTGGGGTTCACACAGAAGAAAGCAGACTCGCAGGTGAGGTGGTCAGTACTCAACACCATACTGCTACTACGTCGCCATGAGACAGCTCGAACCAAGCTTGCTGAGGCTATGTCCAAGGGAGAATCTGTCGGATCCTGTATCCAAATCATCGAAGATTCTATCGACCCTTCTGATATCTAGAAATCATCCATTGTCTTTTCTCGTCCGTTGGACAGATTCTGTTGAGCTTCTTCATATAAAGATGTAATTTTTATTTTTCCCTTATGAAGAAGATAGTTGTTATATTGCTAAGCCAGGTAATGGTTCAGCTTTGACCATGGCTACAACTTACAATTCTGTTAGTCGATGACCATTGTCCGTGAAACTGTTCATCGTGTCTTATTATTGCGTCGAATTATTTTTATTTGCTATTAAGTGGATAATAATTTATATGTTCCTCCTTCGATCTTAATAATGATTATTCGATTTCGATCCAATCCAAGCCCAACCCTTTTCCCCTCTCAAATCCCTAAATAAAGGAGGTAAAAATTTAAGAAAAGAAAGAAACTGGAGATTTTCTTCTGGGTTTCTCGGAAAAGGGACGAAAATGGAGGTACAATGGGTTCTGGTGTGTCACGGGGTGTTGACGTTAACGGTGGTTGTTTCCTTCCTCTGTGGCCAATGGCCAATCTTCAAAGGCACACCCATTGGATGGATTCACTATTTCCTCACTTTCGGCGCTTACGATTACTTACTGTACTCCTCCTCCTCCTCCTTTCACTGAAACTCTGTTTGTATGATTGTGAAATAACTTCCATCGATTAGGGTTTCGTGATCGTGCTCCGTGCTCTGTTGTTTTCTTTTGCAGGCGGTTTACTGGGTTTGTGTTTGGTTCCAAGGGCACGGACTTGATTCTTTCGGTTGAGTATTTCTGCTGTGAGCGGCCTAATCCTTTACTCCAAGTTAGTAGTACTTCTTCATATTCTTGCTTAAATGTTTAGAGGATGTTGAGAGGTTGATTTGCGAGTCCACTGAAAGCAATTTTCTTTTCGATTAGTGGGTTTGTGTGAGGTTAAATGTGATTAGTTGAGGAATCGAGGTAGCTAAGATTTGGTTTTGATTTGTAACTCTAGAAACTCAAGTGAAATATATTGAGTTCATATCCCTGAGCTAGTCTTTTGAGCTATGGGGAAAGCAAGTTTCAGATTTTAGCTTGGAAACATACCTAATTGTGGATACTTGGAAACTTGGCTAATTGTGAATGGCGCATGCTGCATCATTCGCTTGAGATATTTGTAAAATCCTTTATCGGTTATAGTTACTGTTTCTGAAATGTTGTTCCATATCTTGCAGATCATATATCTAGCGATTATTGGATCAACATACTTTTTAACTGCAAAGTCTTCCTTTGCCTATATACCTGGATATTATATCGGCGAAGTTCACAAGTAAGTCATGCTTCTCTTTATCATCATCTTCTTTAAATTTTGTAGCTCCTTTGAATCTTAAAAATCATTCAATTTGATTTTGTAGGTATTTGAGCTTCGTGGCTGTTATAATTGGAGTCCTGCTTTTCCTGTTGACAAGCTTTTGTGATCCAGGGACCGTGAACGCTAAGAATGTTTCTCAGTACATTTCTGCTTACCCTTATGATGATATCATATACTCAGAGAAAGAATGCTCAACGTGTAAAATTCCAAAGTAAGTACATTCGAAACCCTGTGGTAATCTCAGTGGACGACTCTCGCTTTGACTCGTTCCTTTTGTATGTATCTCTATAAACAATTTGTTTCTCATTCAGACCAGCTAGATCCAAGCATTGCAGCATCTGCAACCGTTGTGTGGCTCGATTTGATCATCATTGTGGGTGGATGGTTTGTACATAGCCCAACAAGCTCTTTTTGAATCTTTCTAACTGTACTTGTTGATGATTTTATTGATACCAAGCTTCTTCCTATATCGGTTGCAGAATAACTGCATCGGCGAAAAGAATACCAAGTATTTCATGGCCTTTCTTTTATGGTTAGCTCTCATTCTAATACTTAACCAGTCTTTTGCCATTTTCGGAATCTTGGATGCTTCATGAAACTTGATATTCTGAGGAACTAAGAACAGGGTAATTTTTTACGTGTCTTCTCTTCCTTTGTCTTGATCTTAAACGGCTCTCTAGTGTCTTGTAGGCATTTCCTTCTTTGTCTATACGGAGCAGTGGCCATTGGGTTTATTCTTGCGGGGAGAGTAAAAGAACTTCGCATTGTTCATGTTTTAACCAGTAAGTATCATATACCATGCCCTTGTCCTCAAATGGTATCTTTAAGCTTTTGCTACCTGAATCTAATATGTAGAATCTGGATTATATCTCTACAGTCTATTACGGGATAGAGAACTCTTTCCGCAGCTTAACCCCACGTGTTCTACAGGTACTTAACAACGAAACAAATCTCGATCTTCCTCACTTGCGTTGCATATGCAGAGACTAGAGAGTAATCTAATGGCTTGTGTGGTTGTCTTTGAAACAGTGGCTAGTTGGGACATACAATACACAGATACTTTTAATGGTGTTTTTTGCCCTTATCGCTCTCCTTCTTGCTGGCTTCTTCGCTTACCACCTCAATCTCTGCTTAACCAACACAACAACTAATGAGGTAAATACTATTACCGTCCTCTAGAAATTGTCATATTTTGGCTTAGACTCATCACTCTGTGATGTTAACGGGTTTGTTTGTTTGTTTGTTGACAGAAATTCAAGTGGAGAGAGTACATAAGTTTGCAGAAGAAGATCAGCGAAGCAAAGGCAAGTGCTGCTGCTCTGAAGGCAGGCATGACCAACACCGAGCTGAAACGTCCAGAAAAGAGCAAATGGAGAGGACTTTGGGGAAGATCCGAGGCCAAAGCAGAGGCCATCGTTGCTAACCGGAATATGTATGATAAAGGAAGCTTTCGGAACATGTCCGAGATTGTTTTTCCATTATCTTCAAGACAAGCTTTCCAGAAACCAAATCATAAATCTCAATAGCTTTATTCTTTAATGTAGTGAAATAGGTATTGAAACATCTACTTTAATGCAAGAGAAGGGGATTTACTGAAACTATTGTTCTATACCTACAGCTTTATACAGATCTTGAACAACGCTGTTTATAAATCTGTCATTTTCCACAGAATTTCGTATCTTTTTCTCATAGAACAATATTCCCTTCTCTGCTTCACCACAGTTCATGTATCCCTTTAGGATCGCGCGTCCGCAAGCACTGTCTGGGCTGATACCAGCTTCTGTCATCTTGCAGTAGATCCTTTCGGCCTCATCCATCATTCCAGCTTTGGCACAAGCAGAGAGCAATGAACTGAAATGGCTTCGAGATAGCGGAATGCCTTTCTCTTGCATGAGAGTGATCATTTTCTCTGCTTCTGTGTACTGTGAACTCTCGGCATAGGCTTGAATTAGGGAGAGGTATGTGGATGAGTCGTCGTCCGTAAAGAGGCCATTACTCTCCATTGCCTGCAAAAGTTTATCAACCTCACGATGGAGTCCTCTAGTTGCGCATAGTTTTACCAGCATGTTGTAACTTGTCTGCAAATATTCCCCAGTATCCACTGTTATGTAAGCCATTGGATAGAGACCTTGCGAACAGTTTGGCTGAGAAACATAGAACATACCATTCCAGGTTTGATCCCTTTCCTTCGCATTTCACTGAACAACGCCAATGCTTCACTCATGTTTCCTGGAACAGCAAGAGAAACTTTTATTTGTCACTCTTACCAACCAGAATCAAGACCATTCAACAAAACATAGAATTCCAACAATGCAAGAAGTTGTGAATACGTATTAAACACGAACCGAAACATAAGTATAGTTTTTTCGATTAAATACATACCAGCCTTCCCATAATGCATAATCATATTTGTGTATATTTTCTCGTCCAGATACACTCCCGCTCTTCGAGCGTTGCTGAAAATCTCAATTGCTTTGTCCAGCTGCAGACCCCGCCCGTACACACTACATCAAACCACCAAGATGGCTGGAATATTACAAGACAACCAACTTGCACGAGCCTTAAACATAAGGAAGTCTGACTTTTACCTGATCATTGTGTTGTAGGTCTGAATCGTACAAGGAACACCTGAGCTACGCATCCGCTCATAAATTTCAGATGCACACTGGAGTTTACCTGTGACAACAGAGGTTTGAGTGTTGGTTCCCTGCACCATAAACTTAAACTGGAATTAAACTTAAACGTTTCTGTTCTACCTGCTTCTAGCATTGCCTTGATAAGAGTATTATATCCCACGGTATCGAGCTCCATGTCTTTTTCAAGGCAGGCCCGTGATATTTCTTCTGCTTCTCTGTGTTTCCCTGTGATTAGGATAACGCAATTTTCTTACAGAACATTTTAACATTCTGATTAATAGGAATAAATATCAATTCTCAAATTTCAAAGCATGTGCCATAGAGTATTCACATTTGGTTTCACTTAAATTCCTTGGGATATATAAGGAGATACAATTTTCCATTTGACGTACCTCGATTTGTTAGGGCATTCACGAGTATGCTGACCGTAACAGCTCCTGGGTCACAGCCCTTTTCTGCTGATTCCATGAAGAGTCCATACGCAGCTTCAAGCCAACCACATCTGACATAGGCATCAATCATTGAGTTGATAACAGATTTCCCCAGCGTTTTAGATTCTCCTGCTGCAAGATAAAGCCGTTTCGCCTCTTTAAGCTTATGTTGTTTCCCGTACACAGCAATCAAAGTCGCAATTGTTTCCTCCTCTATACCGAGTCCTAGACTGATAATCATATCGGCAAGAATTTCTGCTTTAGATATATCACCTGCATAAAAAAAATGAAGATCATCTTTAACAGGTATATCCATAGCTTGTTAACAAACAACCATGTCTAAGGAACAAAAAACCCAAAATTTTCCTACCTTCTCTCACAAAGCTACTAATGACTCGATTTACTGCCGCTGAACCAAGATCGGTCTTGAACATTAAATTCAAGATTGCTTTAGTCTCATTCAAATTTCCCTCGTTTAGCCGCAAATTGAGCAGCATACCAAGAGCCGTGACATCAAGGCGACTCACGTTCATAACTGCTTCGTGTTTCTCTTTCTTGTGTCTTTCGATATGCATAGCCTCTGCAAGTGTTTGTACAAATCTGTTATCCTTAATCACAGCCTCTTTACCCATTTTCCTTACCAGCTCTTGAGCTTCTGCTACCATTCCCTCTTTGCAATACACTCTCATCGTCGTCTTGTAAAGCTCTATATCAAAGTGCACCTGATCAGCTATTATCTGCTTGATGAAACCCTTAGCTTTCTCTCCCAAACTGAGCCTGGTATACAAACTGAGCATGTCGTTACAAGAACTGGCATCAGGAAGTCCAGTCTTCGACAAAGCTTGAAATGCATCCTCAGCACAGTCTACATTCTGCATCTTAGCATAACACTGTAGCATGACAATATAGGCAAATCTAGAAAGGGGAAGATCTCTGGTCTTCATCATTTCAATTACATCTAATGCTTTGGCAACATTTCCCGAATTCAAATGGACTTGAGACATTGCCAAATACGTTTTCTCATCAGACAGTAGATTCATGCGTTCAGTCTCTTCAAAAATAGCCTGTGCATCATGGAAAAGTCCAAGCTTCCCGTATATTCGGATGATCAACCCGCGGATGACCTCATCAGCTGGAGTTTTGTTTCTCTCCATGTCCGCGAAGAGAGAAAGCGCTTTCGGGTAGTTCTCAGTTCTGTAATATAAACTTAGCATAGAAGCACAAGTATAGTTACTCGGAGTGATTCCTTGAGATCTCATATCCTCGTACAATCTAACAGCCTGATCCCAATCACCAGCCTTGACACTTAAGCTAATAACCGAACTGTAAGTTACTTCCTCTGGCACGAAACCTAAGCTCTTCATCTCACCAAAAACCTGCAACGCATCCTCGTTGAAGCCCTGTTTTGCATATGAGCTCACAACTACCGTATATGTGAATTCAGTCGGCGGCACACCTTCCTCCACCATTTCTAACCACAGATCTATCACCTTCTCGTGGAGTGACTTCTTCTGAAGAGATGAGAGCATGAAATTGTACACAGAAGTAGAGAGGACGATTCGCCTTTCTTGAACAGCTTTGTAGAACGTCAACATAGCGTTGTGGCGTCCCCATCTAGCATATGTGCACAGCATCGTACCGCAGGCTACTGCATCTGGTTCACACCCAACTTCGAGCATTTCCAAAAAGGTTTCCTCGGCCAGCTTTATCTTCCCGACTTGTCCATACAAACGAAGAACAATCGTGTAGACGACGACACTTGGACGATAGCTTAACTGTTGTTGACACAAGAATCTATCACCAAAAATTCAGTAATCTAAAAGTCTAGATTCAAAAGCAAATCCAGATAAAAAAAAATGTTTTTTTTTAAGGATCTTCACAAACACAAGCCAAAATCTAAGGTTTGGGATTTGAACCTGCAATTTCATCCAGGCGAAGAAGTCTCTGACTTGTCTCCAACCTCTCTGCTCTTTCAAAACGACGCACATATCTCTGAAAGTCAGCTTCGCGACGAAGCTGCCCATCACGACTCTCATATCGGCACTACCTTCCCTCTTCTGCGACAAGCCTCTCACCGTCTTAATCGCAGCCACCACGTGCTTGCCGTACATCTGACCGTTCCGATCATCCTCCAAATACTGAACCATCTGCTCAGGGGTGCGCTTAATCCACTTGGGAGTCATAGCGTGAGAGCCTTGGTTCCTCCTCAACGTGCTCAGGTACTGCGCCTTCTTCTTTATGATTCGCCTCGCGTCGTCGTCCGATAACGGGTGTTTCGGCCTCTCGTATCTCGGCTTCGGTCTCTCCGGGTTCCCGTCGCTGAGAGACCACGGGTCGGGTCGGACTCCGGGGGAAGCAGAGGACCTTATCGATATCCTCGACCTCCTCGAGGGTATTTTGGGAAGAAATATTGAAGGATTGAGGTGAGTAGTGGAAGTGAGGAAGTCACTCTTCATGATTACCGGCCAGAACCTCGCCGTATCCTGCACCTTTAGAGAGAGTCAGAGACGGTCTCCTAATTTAGACATTGGATTATCCGGTTTACTTCGGTTCAATGTGGTTTCTGTTTGCCTCCTCCAATCCAACAATAAATTAGCTTGATTTCCGGTTTATGACTATGAAATACAGAAACAGTATAAAAAATTAAAAACCATCATCATGTCACAAAGGAGAGTATAACAATTATGGATTGTCACAAATTCAAAAACACCAATGTTAAAAATCCCACAGGTATATATGCGATTTTAGCAAAAGAAAGAAAGAGACTTTATATTTGGGTGTCTATAAGTTAATATCAAAGACTGCTTTGGGGTCAAGCTCCCAGCAGCATTCGCCATCTCCATACCGAGTCACTTCTCTGACTCTGAAGGCAGGAATCTGATGCGAGAACCTACTCGCTTCCGTTCTGGGGATGTCGACAAAATAAGCGTTCGAATCTCTACTCCTTCCAAAGACAACCTTGTTCAACCCTTTCACAGTCAAAGGCACCACTCGAATCCTCTGCTCGTCGGTTTCAACAACTTCCACAATTCTAAATTGTTCAGACTGACCGCACTCTGCGGCGTTCCACTTCTTGTACAGAGCCCATATCTCACCTTTTCTTGGGTATACATCGAATCTGTCCATGTCACTCCTCAGGGCTCTAACCTGGTGTGAGAAGCTGCGAGGCAAAAGCACCTCTGGTATACCGGTTCTCACCTTGAACCGGCCGCAGCACACGGGACGCGTCACGCGGTTCGAAGGACGTCCTCGACGATGCACCTCTAGAGGCGCTACGTGCAGCTTGAACTCAGGACTTGTCTGGATTCTCTTGATCTGAGCGTACTTCCTCGGCATCCCTTGGCCATCGGTGTAAGTTGCCCACACTTGGTTAATCTTGAACTTGTCGCAAGATCTCTGGTCCTCGAAGTCAACACAGTCTTCTTTCCCGGTTGTGTAAGGAGACAACGGCACGTGAGCCTCTGGATCTGAGCATGTTACGGCGTCATCGCCTATGGACTGAGACAAGGACTCATCATCTCTCCCACGTTTCTTTGAGTTGTTACATGCCTGGTAGTATGCATGCCGAGGTTTCTTTGGGATTGTCATCTTCCTCCCAGAGATGCAAAACTCATCTGGCTTTCCACAAAAATCACCATAGCCACCACGCTTCTTCTCAGCTCCTTGTTGGCCTGACCTTGAAGTTGTATCTTCGGTGTTTGTTTCACTGCAAAGAGATATTTGCCTCTCATTTGGTGGCTGCTGCACTTCAGGACTAGCATCCAATGATACTACATTGTTGACTGGCAAACAAAAAAAAAAATCTTTAATAAGCATCACAATACTATATAGTATACAACTTTGACTGTTATTTCTAAAAGTTGTGGGAGACATATTTTTATGTTACTTGAGACACAAATGATTTTCAGACACGTTACTTGAAGAGAAAGAGACAAGAAGGAACGTGTGAATCTTTTTTTTTTTATTGAGAAAACGTACCAGGTATTAGGGCAAGATCTTGATCCCGGTTTCTTTGTTGACAAGAGCTAGGCAATTTCTGTGCTTCCTGCTCATAATCCTTAACACATCTATCCAACTTCTCTTTTGTAGATTTCAGTAGCTCATCTCTTTTATCAATCCTTTCCTCCCGAGCATCAAGCTCTTTCTCACGTTCCATCAACGATCTTTTAATGCTGACTTGCTGCTCCGTTACAGACTCCAGTTCTTTCAAGCTGTCTTGAATCTTTTCCTTGACAGAACCAAGATCACATTGTTTTGATTTGAGCTCAGCGGTAAGATCAGTAATTGAGCTTTGAACCTCATTAAGATGTTTCTTCTTAGATTCCAATTCACCTGAGCATTCCATGATCGCCTTCTTGATTGAAAGAAGCTCTTCTTGTTTCACATGGATTTGTCTCTTAAGTTCCTTATTGGCGTCATCCAAATGTTGCATTTTCTTCTCTCCTCCTTCGACTTGTTTGTTTTTGTCTGCAGTGATGAGTGACTCTAAAGACTCTAACTCCCTCTTTTTGGTTTCCAGGTTTTTAAGACACTCCCTGAGTGTATATCTCACAGAGCGAAGTTTCTTTTTCTCTGAATCAAGATCTGCAGTGCACGTTACTAGTTTGTTCTCTTTTGAACGCAGTTTCTCAGAGAGCTGCTGGATGAAAACTTCAGATCTTTCCAATGTCTTCTCTTTACAGACAAGTTCCGTGGATAGTTTACGGATTGCCTCCGTTTTCTCTGTCTGCTCCTTCTCTTTAGAAGCAAGTTCTTCACAGTGTTCCTTGATCAACAAGTTGATTGATTCATATTCTTCATTCCTTTCCTCAATCCGCGTTTCAATCTCCTCCAGCTCCTTAGCTTTTGACACAATCTTGTGACAAGTCTTGTCATAGTCTTCATTTAGTGATACGACCATGTGGTCCCTCAGGTCAAGGTCCATACTCAGTTTTACAAATTCTTTCTTCTTAGCAGCAAGCTCCGAGGAACGTGTCTCAAGCAGCTTCTGCTGAGAATCCAGTCGCTTCCTCAACAATTCAAGCGGCTTACCACTTTCCGCTATTTCATCATAAATCGCTTTGAGATCGTTCTTCTTTCTCTCTATATCCTCGTCCAATTCTATATTGCGAGTTTCAAGATCAGTCTTCACTATTTCTAACTGTTCCACCTTCAATTCAAGTTCCGAGGAACGTGTCTTAAGGAGCTTCTCACATTCCGCAGTTTTGTCCTGAACCAACGTTAGGTAATTTTTCTTTCTCTCGATTTCCTCATCACATTCTCTCACACAAGTTTGAGTCTTATCTAACTGCTCCTTCTCTGCGATGACCTCAACGCGATGCCTCTCAAGATCAGCCTCCATTTTAGCTAGTGTTTCCCTTTTCAAATCGAACTCAGCCTGAGTTTTTCTCAAAGATTCCATCAACTCATCAAGTTGAGTTGTCTTTAACGTTTGATTCACCGTACACTCTTCCACCAACGTCTCAAGAATCCCCAGTTCATCTCCTTTATCTTCAATTGCCTTCTTGAGTTCATCGGCTTTCATCTTTACACCACTCACCTCAAATTCAGCTGCTTCAACCACTTTTGCCCTTTCTTCAAGAGCAAGGCTTCTGTTTTGCAACTCCTCCTCTTTCGACTCTAATTCCTTGAACCTCTTCTCTATCCTCTCTTCGGCTGATTTCAGATTATCCACTAAATCACTCCACTGTAGATTGAATACAAGTATGTCTGAGGTTTGAGACTTGACCTTCTCCATTGCTTCACGGACACTGTCTTTCTTTATCGAGCATTGTTTTAGCTCATTCCCAATATTAGTTTCCTCCATGCCCTACAATTTCTTCAACTCCACGGAAGACTATAACCCAAAAAAGAAAATCAAAAAAAATCTTATCAGTGTTAATTAATGATTCTTTCTACTATATAATCAATGATTCTTTGACGTATCTCGACCAAAAAGAATGATTCTTTGACGTATTTCTCGACAAAGTGAATTCATTTGTATGACATTCACGAAATCCACCAGGGTTTATAGTTACGCTTAGATCCACATATATCAAGATCTAACACAAATTCATATAACTTTTTAAAAAACCAATGAATCATTTTAATGTCACGTATTACTTAAAAAAAAAAACATTTTGTTCGGTATGATATTTATACATTAGATACATAGACTAATTCTTTATCAAATTTTTGAAAAAAATGATTTGAGTTAATAAGCGCGCGAAATCATCATCCAATAATATATCATATAACTGTATTATTTGTGTTACATTTATTTTTAAATCTTTATAAATTCAATAGATATTAAAATCTAAATATATTCACATAACTTTTGGGAATAGATCATATAAAATGAAACAATATTTTGTTCTACATCTTACATTATATAACAAAATAGATCTAGAGAGATGATACATGTCTATAGTTACGCTTAAATTTCACATATATCAAAATCTAAACAAATTCATCTAATTTTTTAAAACTAACAAATCATTTTTAATATCGCATATTACTTGAAAAAAACATTTTATTTGGTATGATACTTATAAATTAAATACATAGACTAATTCTTTTTCGAAATTTTGAAAAAAATGATTTGAACTAATAAGCGCGCGAAATCAATATCTAATAGTATATCATATAACCGTATTATTTGTATTACATTTATTTTTAAATCTTTATAAATTTAATAGATGTTAAAATCTAAATATATTCACATAACTTTTGGGAATAGATCACATAAAATGAAACAATCTTTTGTTTTATGTCTTACATTATATAACATAATAGATCTAGAGAAAGATGACATATCTCTATAGGTACGCTTAAATCTATATATATCAAAATTTAAACAAATTCATCTAATTTTTTAAAACCAATAAATTATTTTTAATATCACGTATTACTTGAAAAAAACATTTTATTTGGTATGATATTTATGAATTAAATATATAGACTAGTTTTTTTTCAAATTTTTGAAAAGAACAATTTGAATTAATAAACGCGCGAAATCAGCAGCCAATAGTATATCATATAACTGTATTATTTGTGTTACGTTTATTTTCAAATCTTTATAAATTCAATAGATGTTAAAATCTAAACATATTCACATAATTTTTGGGTATAGATCACATAAAATGAAAGAATTTTTTGTTCTACATCGTACATTAGATAACAGAATAGATCTAGAGAGAGAGATGATATATCTTTGAATTCTACCCCAAAAAAATTCAAACATTGTTGATTCAAAATCGCCAATTAAATAACAACATATAATCAGATAGGTTTTACGATGAAATCAAAAGTTAAATCAATAATCAAACAGCATAAAATTTGACTTACATTGTTTCAAGTCAATTAAAGATCTGAGATTCAGCAAATCCATGCCATGCTTGAGACACTAAAACAAAAGGAATATATATATATATATATATATATATATTATGGTGATGAGGAGGAGAAAATATAAAGCAAAAACCAGCTTTTAGAACACAACAGATAACGAAAGAAGACGAAGGTTGCAAACCTACACGCAAACGTAAGTGATGAGAGAAACCCCTAGAAAGAGAGAGAGAGAGTTCCGCGAGAGAAGAAATTAGGGTTTAAGCAAGGAGAGATGGAGGGATGATTAGATCTGAGAGAAGATTACGACAAAGCTTTTTTCTCGGGCCATGACGAGACAACAAAATAAGAGAATTGAGAAAATGGAGTGCGCAGAGAGAGAGAGAGAGAGAAAATCGTAGAGAGAGAGAATCGCAGATAGATAGCGATAATACCCTACAATTTAATTTCTTTATATTCAGAGAATCTACCAAACAGACCCAAAGCTTCTGATTGCATCAGTAACACCGCCTGACATTTCTATCTATTTATTTTTTTGACGTCAAGTGTTTAGTTTTTTTTTTCGGACCAAGATCCAAGTGTTTACGAATGACCACGAGCATCAACTGTGTTTCCTTCAGTTTTGACGGAGACACGTCCCCACTAATTATTGATATACCGAACCAACTGCAAACCAGATAATACCAACTGCTTAGGTTTCGGTTCGAGGTCAACAAAATATTTGTAAATAAATCTTTCTGTCTGACACGTCATCATAAGATGTTATCTTTTTTTTTTTTTATTGTTCTCTTTTTCCAGTGTCAAGCTATTAAATTCAGTGTTAAGTTAAAAGTCACACAAGACTTTCTTTGTTTCACTTATAAAAATATCAACAAAAAGTACAAACCCTAAAAGAATATCATCAATTCCTGGAGAAACCTGTCTGTTTGGCCAACATTGTGGCTTGCCGCCTTCACGGGAGTTCAACTCTCTCTTGACTTAACGATCTTTTTAATTAACAATTTTTTTTTTGGGGAGGCAATTAAGAATCATTTAATCTCATCCTATGATTTACAATGATAAAGAGATAAGATACATATAAAATAGCATTTACAGTGATTTGTCACGCCATTATGTTTGACCTTAACAAGTATATTTACAGTGATAAAGAAATAATATATTTTACATACCAAATATCATTTTTCACTATTAGGAGTGTCATGAGCTAGCAAATACTAAAATTGTTAAGATATAGACAAATGTCTGAACCAATTGGTATTTTCTATGCCATCATCTTGACCTTAACAAGTGTATTTACAATGATAAGGAAATACAGTATTTTACATACAAAATAGCATTTTCTCACTTTTTTGAGTGTCATGAGCTAGCAAATACTAAAATTGTTAGGATGTAGACACAAGTCAGAACCAATAGAGATTTGCTATGCCATCATGTTGTCATTGACAAGTATTACAATGATAAGGAAATACAATATTTATATATATATATATATAATAGCATTTTCTCACTATTCATGAGCTAGTAAATACTAAAATTGTTAGGATATAGAGAAAAGTCTTAATTAATAACGATTTGTCACGCCATCATGTTAACCTTAGCAAGTATATTTACAGTGATAAAGAAATAGAATATTTTACATACAAAATAGCATTTTCTCAATCAGAGTAAGTATCATGAGCTAGCAAATACTAAAATTGTTAGGATATAGACAAAAGTCTGAACCAGTAACGATTTGTCAGGCCATCATGTTACCTTAACAGGTATATTCACAGGAAATAATATATTTTACATACAAATTAGCATTTTCTAACTATTAGGAGTGTCATGAGCTAGCAAATTCTAAAATTGTTACGATGTAGATAAAAAGTCTGAACCAATAGAGATTTGCTATGCCATCATGTTGACGTTAACAAGCATATTTACAATGATAAGAAAATACAATATTTTACATACAAAAATAACATTTTCTCACTTTTATAAGTGTTATGAGCTAGTAAATACTAAAATTGTTAGGATATTAAAATAAAGTCTTAACCAATAAGGATTTGTCAAGCCATCAACCTTAACAAGTATATTTACACTAATAATAATTATAAAAAATTACATATAAAATAGCATTTTCTCACTAATAGCTATTAGAAATGTTATATGAGCTAGTAAATATTGAAATTGTTAGGATGTAAGCAAAAGTCTTAACCAATAGAAATTTGTCACGTCATCATGTTTGACCTTAACAAATATATTTACGATGATAAGAAATAAAATATTTTACATACAAACTATAATTTTTTCACTATTGATCGTAACAAATATATTTACGATAATCAAATATTCGTCCCGAGTTTGTTTTTTGTTATGAAAGTAGTATCAGAACCTGTTTTCAACTTTCTGGATTCGATCTTGTTTGTTTGACTCTATTTGATTTGATCTACATTTTTGATCATTATTTCTATTTTTGTTTAGTTTTTATTCCTCTGTTCTTCAATTTTTTACCCAGTAAATATACGAAACTGACAACACTATGGGTAGTCACAAATGCATAACACTGATATTACTGCTTCAGTAGTGTCTTTCATCTTCCTAAACTCCTAAACACTAACGTTGAATTCTAACTTCACTTCGCATTCCACAAGTTATGTCCCAACGACACAGATATGTGAGACTTAACAAAAGAAAGAGACATACTATGGTTTCTTTGAGTTGAGACCAAACAACTGCTTTAGAGTCAAAGCTCCCAGCATTCGCCATCTCCATACCCAGTCGCACTTCTCGCAGGAATCTGATGAGAGTATCTACTCACTTCAGTCTTTCGAATGGCTATGACATCGGTTTTTGACTCCTGACTCCTTCCGTAGAGAAGCTTCTTAAACCCTATGACTGAGACAGCGACTCCTCATCTCTTCCACGTTTCTTTGAGTTCCCTGTGGGTTTGTGTGTATGCCGAGGTGATTTTCTGATTCTTGAGGAATCATCAGTCACAATAACCTTCTCAGGTTTCTTTGCGGTAGTCATCTTCTCATCAGGTATACAAAACCCATCTGGCTGTCCACATGATTCACCATCGTTACCACTCTTCTTCTCAGCTTTTTCTCGGCCTGACTTTGAAGTCTTTTGTTTGTTTGTTTCACTCAAAAGACGAGGAGATTTTCGCAGATTGCAATTATCCAATGCTTTGACACTCTTTCTGAATATCTTCACTGAGCTCATTTCATGATTACTGCATGTTCCATTAGATGCATTGGAGACTGAACTGTGATTGTCATGAACTTTTTGGCGTTCCTTTGGAGATAGACTGCTCTCTAGCGTAGTATCTGCCTGCACTTCAACCCTTGAAGCCTTAGGAAAAGGACCACCAGTTTTACCATTCCGCTTTTCTTTATCCAACCCAACATCAGCTTTAGAATTATCAACCTCGAACATATCTTTTGGTAAAGCGGCAGTGTCTAATTCGAAGCAACCAGGAGGAACACCTTCTCTCTCATTTCCAGTCATTTTGACTGAAGGGACTTTATGAGAAAACCTCAGTATCTCGCTTGGTGGAATTAGAAATTGGAGAACTCCATACTTTGCACCTGGGCGAAACAGAGAGATAAACCCTTCCACTTTTTCCAGATAGGCCACTCCAAGGCCATCCACATCATTTAAATCAGACAGAACCTCAACATAGTCATATTCGTAAGTCCAACTGATATCCCAGCCTCTGAAGACTGCCCAAATTTCTCCTTTTCTTGGATAGATAACGATGTTATTGTCATGAGGTACGTGAAGCATCTGACAAGAAAATATCAGATGGTCGCCTACTTCCTGTGAATCACCATCTTGGAAGATTCCACAAGCAATGGGAATAGAGCTATCTTTGTTATCCTGCCGTAAGAGGTCTAACCACGTAATCCAAAGCTTGAACTCAGAATCAAGAACTTTTCTTATCCTAGCATAGAGCCGAGGCATACCGTCAGTCGAATCATACAGAGACCACACCTGGTTGACAGCAAAGCAGCTTGTTGTCGGTTCGAAATTGTTAAAGTCTGGATCAGGTAAATCCTGAGTACTAGGCTTTTCCTTAGCTTTGTCGTTTTTGTCAATCTTTCCCGCCATACCCATCGCTACTCCACGTGCTTCACTTCCTTCACTCTTCTTCTCTTTGGTTGACGAGATTTCTTGATGTCCAGAACCCACATTGTTCTTAGCTTTTCCATTATAAACAGATGAAGGGGCAGAAGAAGCACCAGAATCATGACGTACCGATGATCCAACACCTAAATTTTGTTTTTTCGTAGTTCCCTCAGGTTTCAATCCACCACTTGATACTGGCCTTTTTGTTGGAGGGATTATAGAATCACCACTGCTTCCCTTCTCTGCGCAAGATACCCGCTGACTTTTCCTTGGAGATGTCCTCCTATTACTATTATCTTTTGAATCAACATCGATACTCTCAGTGGGATCCTCAACAGTTTTTCTCCTCGTTGATTTGTCCTTGCTCGTAGAGGGTGCTTGATCACACCTTGAAACTGATTCATCAGGTACAGATTTTGATGCACCTGCTTCTGGTTCTGTAACCTCAGGTTGCGGCTTCATATCATCAGCTTTGTGTAGCTCAGCAGTACTCTTCTTATCCACCTCATCTGCCACAGTTCTTGGCTGAGCACCAGTGGACTCCACAGATGTCTTACACGGGCCCTGATTTCGAACCCCTTTTTGATCAGTGCTTGATTTAGGCGGCACTCCGTTAAATCCAGTGTTGGAGGCCACGAAGGATCGATGACAACTGATACAGTACATACGCGTGTTCACATATTGTCCGAAGTATGTATGCTTATAGCCACAATGCTCACAAGCCAGAAATGTGGCATTGTTTGCAGCTGCACTTCGTAGACCAGAGTTTGCATTCAACTGGTGGCTAGCGACCCGTAAATAGATTCTTCGCTTGATATCATACTGCGAACGTTTTTCCTTGTCAGCGAGCAATCTGTTTGCTTCCCCAATCAATTTGAAAGCAGACTCTGCACCTGGGAACTGGTTCTTGTCAGGATGAAGAAGCAAAGCGAGCTTCTTGTACTGCTTCTTGATTGTGGCATCGTCAGAAAAATGCATAGCTTGGAGAATACCGTACCAGTTTTCGAGACCTTTGATTTTATCGTCGGCAGAACAATGGACATCACAAACGGCTAACATTTGTGGTAAGCTGTCAAGACCTGAGAAGAGACTCTGAGCCTTCATTAGCAGCTTCTGAGCCTTGGCAAAATCACCATTCCGCATCATATTCTCTGCCAATGCTTTTGCCCTAGAGGCCTCTTCCCTGTTACAGTCCATTTTCAGAGAAGAGGAAGCCTCTTGAATCAGCTAAAGGTCAATGATCAGAACAACAAAGACGCCAGGGAACAAATATGTAATTCCTGCAAACACAAAAGTCCATTGCAGATCCATTTATTTATGATATCACAATTCCCAATTGTCATCACAAATACAGCGACTGTAAGAAACAGAACTCAGCTTACCATATAAGAGACAAGAAAGACTAAATCTTTAAACAATGTGCTTTATAAACAAGCCTTTACCCCCCAAAGGACGCTCTTGAAAAATGAAAGAAGCCTGATAGTGCAATAGTATAGACATCATAAGTCATGATTTTTAATTGCAATGCTGAGATAAAATCAAAGTTTCAGTTTTTTTTGAAGCAGAATAACTCAAAATGACTGAGGAAAAAGAGAGAAGATATCTTAAGCTGTAATCACCAGATGTAAACAAGTAAGACATATAAGATCAGAGAGCTCCGATTTCTTTCTCGGAGGCGAAATTGAAAGCAAGAAACTTTTCCAGCTGCATAAAAAGTAAGTCAATGTCACACAACAACAACTAAAAAACGAGAATTTACCCCACCGCATACGCAAATGCAAACCCTAGACGACGGATTTAAAAAAAACCCACAAGTGAACATACCTAGAAGCTTGAAGCTGGAAAGCCAGTTAGCTCAGAGAAGATCAGAAGAAAATTAAAAAACGAAAAACCCCTAAATTCCGAGTGAAGAGAAGAAATCGAGAAATCGAGAGAGGGAAGTGAAAACGAGAATCCAAGTTTAAAGGCCGCCACTGGATTTTTCTGGAGATGCTAACATTTTTGTTGTCTTTTTGCTTTTTTTGCTTCCTATTTTACTTTACTTTTTGACACAATTTGGGAACGATTTCCTATTTCTTTTATGAAATGCACGTTTAATAGCTTAATTTTGTTTATCAACCAAATTATCGAGCTTTTTATACATAAAAATTTGACTATAGTAGTTAGTGAGAGAAAATATATTTTACATATGATCATTTGTAATAATAAATGATTTCTTTAACAGGGAAAAAAAACTTTGATGGCTTCCACAAAAATCAGTTTTGTAACATGTGGAGACAACAAGAGTGACATAAGACCAAAACAACAAAAGAGAAGGAGTAATCTCCAACGTCCAAAACTTATAGACCATCAGAATTTTACATAAATAACCATATGATTATTGACATCTTCTCTGAGTATGCGGAATCAGATAATCCTGCAAAAACTAAAACAAACAATCCCCCAAGAAGCTAATAACTTTCAAGAACCCTAAAAAAGTAAGCAACACCTAGTACTGGTTCCTGTTATAAGGATCGAAATGATGTTGATAATAAAACTGGTAATATCGGGGTCCCTCTGGTGGTGTCCACTGGTCATGATTGTAATCCAAGTTCCGAGTTCCGGTGAAACCCCTATCGTAATGATTGACCGGCCAAGGCTGTCTTTGATTCAGGGAATATCCATGCCCTGGATAGTGATTTCTTGTGTGTGAAGCAACGTGTACTGAGCTCTTTTTGCTTCCCGAAAGGCTGCGTTTTTGTCCTCCCTTCTTCTTTGAGGAAGCAGCAGCTGCCGTTGAAGGTTCCAATGGTGTGTTCCTGGTGACAGAACCAACCTCTGCTAAATTTGGCGCTTCTTCTTCCGCCTGGGATTGTTTGATTGTCAAATCAGGTTTTGATCCATCGGATGGGCTTTGCCTAAGCTTCAAAAGCGACTTGATCTGTTCCTCCAGGTCTCCGAGTTGGAACTCTGATTCGAGTTTGTGAGACTTTATGCATCTAATGGCGGCTCTTAGTGATTTGATCTGCCTGTCTATGGCCGCAACCTGTAAAGTCTGCGTTGTGTTACAACAAACTCTCTCTCTCTCTCTTTGCGTTCTCTTGTCATAAGAAGTTAAGGACAAAGAAAGGAGGGGAATTTACCTGCGGTGCAGATTCGTTCTCACTAGCGTCTCTAAACGCCTTCTCTGCAGATTCCTTTGTAATCCTCAAGGAGTCGTTTATGATAGCGGAAACAGGGTGGAATCTATGGACCATATCAAATGAGTAAATGTAGTCGATTGCCTTGAGACGATGCCCACTTTTTATGACATTTTGGATGAAACCTGTTGGTAAAAGCCATATTAACAAACCATCTTATATAAATAAAAAAGGGACATGGTTTTAGTCTATTAAACAAGTTTATCATATTCAGACATCTCGCTGAACCAACTGTTATTTCAATTAATTCTCTAGGCTAAGTGATTTACAATAGCGGGAGAATGAAGATAAGGGAATCACCTGGAATGGCGTAGTCCAACCCTAGAAACTGGCAAAGATCAGGAGACACAGTTTGCCAATAAGAACTGTCCAGTAGACCTAAGAGGTCATTAGCCTCGAACTCTGACACAATCCCGAAGATACCAAGAAACTTTAGGAAACAAACGACTTCCATTTCATCCGTCTTACTCTTTGAAATCTTTTCTTTCCAGTAAACCGCAAGTTTCTTTGCATCGCCTTTCACAGGATCTCCAGCTTGACCCGGGAGCTTCTTCAGCTGATCCAACAATAAGGAGCAGCTAGCTGAAGTAACCAGAAGCTTGAACTCGTAGCCCCCTTCGGGAGGTTTAGGACACAGAGCCATGGATGTGTCTAGAACAAGCTTTGCAGGATCTAGTGTGCATTTGATAGCATTGAAGAGATCACTCTCCACAAGATGTTGCTTTTCTACTAGCTCCCTTAACATGTCCGCGTTAATGGAACCAGAGAGAATGTTTGACTTGGTTTCGGTGCTTAATAGATAAGTTGCTTTGCCATCTGGCTGATCTACTCCTGATTCCTCGGACACAACCCTGAGCCGATTCACTGGATGTTTCAAAGGAAAAAAAAAAGATTTCAATTTACAGCTATTTAATCATCTTAAACACAAGAATAAAAGTGATGTTTCAAATTTTCCCGAAGACAAAAAGTAAAGAATCCAAGGAGATCTGTTTTCTGTGCATTTCATGAACCAAAAACCACAGGAAACAGACACTTAAATTAAGAGTTACATGATGCAAGTCAATGAAAACGAATGGCATGGATACCCTTGTTTTCAGCTGCTTATTTACGAGGAAGGTTGATACAAGAATCAACATACCTGTTGAATTCTGAATAGGAGTTTTTGGTTCAGTTAACTTTTGACGTTTGGCTTCACTCTTCTGTTCATACGAAATAAAAGAATCAGCTTTAGATTTCTCTACAGCGATCTTCGCGCTCTCTCTTTTTTCATGACTTCCATGAACTGGTTCCATTGCTCTCGGGGCTGTAACATCGTTCATCAGTGCAATCAATTGTTTAAGACTTTTTTCAGGAAACATAGACTCAGCTTTCTTCTCTCTAATACACTCAAGGGCCATGACTGCATCAGCTTTCCTCTTCTCCCTCCTCGCTTTCTACAACAAGTCAACAAGCTTAGTCAACTTACATCACACATGACCACATATCATAAGGCTCCGCTATCTTTGTTATCTTATCTCTGTAACTTTCTGTCTAAAAACGAAAATAGTACTTAAAAAAGAATAACAACAAAAAGACACGCCTCATAAGCCAGATTGAATAGAACCAGAGAGAGAGCGAGATCAGCTTACCTTCGCCTCCACTGAGTTTCCATTTCCAGCAATTACTCGGGCAGTTTTTTCTGAGAAGTCCAAGTACTCACGCAAAAGGGCTCCTGGTTGTCCTTTTGGACAAAGCTGGTATAACCGGAATTCACAGACGAATCTGAGTGTTGCGAGGTACTCTTGCTTTTTCTTTAGAGTTTCAACCGCACCTGCAGACCAATTCACATGAAGTTTCAGACTTTGGGCTACAACAAGTGTTAATCAAATAATCGGTTCTAAAAACAAGAAGCGGGCATTACCAGAAACGCGATGTTCTAACCCCAGAAGCCGAAACAGTTTCGGGGCCTGATCATACAAAAGGATGCGATCTAAAAGGGTTAAGAGCACCTCACGAGTAGTCAAAGAGGACAAACCGTAAGCAGCCAGAAACAGCAAGCAACCTAAAACCCGCGAGTAGTTCTTCGGATTGGTTTTTGCCATTGCTATCCAGTCAATCCCGAGTTGAGTCGCTTCCTGTTTCACCTTCCGAGTGATCTGCGGTTTCCTCTGCATCAGGTTCTCCAACAGAAGGATGCAACTATTAACAACGCTATCAAACCTATCATCAGATTCTCCGAAATCTTTATTCATGCATTCCTTAAATGACCCTTCTATAGCATCCAAAACCAGCTTTGGCGGTTCCAAATACGGAATCATCCTTGCCAAGTCTGAGTTTTTCTTAACTAAACCATCCGCAAAATCTGTTGCATTCTTAGTCAGGTAAAAAGTCGAACAGTTTGTAGGCATTGTAACACTTGAGCCTATGTTTTTAGCCAACAATGAAACTAGCGGCTCAAATTCACGCCTCGGCTCTTCTCCGGCGCTAATCCCTTCTTTCTGTTGCTCTGATTCTTTCACCTTCAAACAGAGATCATCTGCTCTCGCATCGAGTTCCTTCAACTTCTCATCAGAATTTTTTTCCATCGATTCGATTCTCTCTGTGAATCTCTCCAACGCTTCAACTTCACCTCTCCTTTTCTCTGTCGCTGCCTTCTGTTCCAAATGGAAAGCCTTCTCCTTCTCCACCAAATCGCTCAGTTTCGCTTCGAATGACCCACGAATCGAACTAAGCTCCTTCTCCTTCGTCTCCAGCTCCAAAGCTTTGCCCTTTATCGATTCCTCCAGTGCTTCTAGTTCCTTCGCTCGCTTCTCGAGAATGCTTCTCGTGGAATCGAAATACGACTCGATCTCCTCCCATTGAATCGTAAGCAGAATAAGAGAATGAGCACCTTCTTGTAGAGAATCTAGGGTTCGGCGGAAGTTATGCTTGCTTGAATCAACAAGCTCTAGGCCACTCGTTGTCTTCTCCATCAAGCTACCCATGGACCCTACGTTCACCCCCCCCCCCCCCCCCTTAAATTAATTTTTTTCAAAAAGGAACGAACTTGATGAATCTTTACGTCTGATTTACTCTGTTTCTCTCGTCACCTGAATGTCGAAAAGGATTTGGAAAAGCCAAACAAAATTTCAAAGTGAAAAGAGAAAACCCTCACCGCCACTCGCCGCCAGAGAGAAGAGAATTAAAAGTTTATGTTTTTTTTAGTCACCATTGTATTCTTTTTTGGTCAATGGTCACCATTGTATAAAATATTTTTTTACTATGTATGTAGCTAATTGTAATGAGGTTACCAAAAAATAAAAGATGTGTTCTTATCACCATGGCATACGAAAATGATTTTGCTTAGAGAAATTAGCAAAGGACTCGAAATTAGAGAAAGTCAAACAACATTTGAACATCTTAGAAAACAAAAGGCTTTCCCTCTGTATATTCTTTACACAGTAACCAGAGAGATTAAGAAACAAGATGGTACAGCTATTAACCACAGCCTATACCTACTTAGATTCTACACCAGAAAGAAAGAAAAAAACTATTTCTTTGTTATATCCTAGCTGCTAGCTTTGAGACAGAACCCTAGAATCTGCCATAGCTTGGTGGTGGTTGATTGAAGCAAGGTCTAATCGTCGGTCTAGGACCCCCAGGATCCATCCTTGGCCGTTTAAAACCAGCGTGCTCTGAAGTTTGAACTTGGAACGCAGCTAAACCACCAGCTTGATATGTTCCCACGTCTAGAAACTGTGGATTAGGTGATGCACCGAGGCTCGTTGGATGGCTCTGGTTCGAGACATGAGTGGCAAGGTATGAGCTGGGAACGACTGTGTGTGAAGCCTGCATATGAAACCGTGGAAGCATCGGCGGCGATTGAATTGGGACAGATGATGGGACAACACACTGGTTCTGAGTGTGAATCTCCCGAGGAACCATAAATTTGTCGATAAGTTCCACAGGAAGATCAATTTCCAGCTTGAAGTCTTTAATGATTTCGATCATGTCTCTCAATTTAGCAGCTTCAGCCTACAAGCCAACAAAGGTTACAAATTTAAGCATCAATGAGAATGAAATTATACAGTTTGCCAAGAGATGGATCGGAGCAATCTTTAACCTGTGATTCAAATCTTCTCTTTTCCTTGGCAGAGCGTTTAAGATTCATGATCTCTTCCTTCAAGAATACCAGGGGAGAAAAGTTGTTCTTCACGTTGAAGGAAAGCATAAACCGGATTGCCGGAATGTATAGGGCTTTGTTTAGGAGCTGATTAACAAAATCTACAGAGATAAAAAAAGAGAAAATCAAACTAGGTTCTTCTGTGTATCTCAAATGTTAGAGCAGAAAGAAAACGCAAAGACAACAATGTGTTGTTGTAGAGGTACGACTTACTTGGGATGGCAGAACTGAGACCAAGAGACTGAAAGAGCTTTGGAGCCTCTTTGAAGTGAGCAACAGACGAGGCAAACTGTAAAGTTTCATCTTGATTGGTTTGTTTCACCAATCCATACGCCACAATGAACTGCAGAAAAGCCCAAGCCTCGAGCTGTGACTTTTGAGCACTTTTCCCCATCATCAAGCTCCATTGATGTGCCACTTTTGTTGCATCTGACTGTAGATCAGGGTCCGTAGAGGTTACAACACGTGCCAGCTCCTCCAAAAGTGGAACCAAAGTCTTAACTATAGGCTCTGCTAAAACCAATTCCCCTCTCCGATGAACACCCGCCAACGCATCCTCGACAGAAGTTAGAACAAACCTGCCTGGATCTTTCAACATTGGAAGTTTAGTAGAGACTTCATTCGGTGAAAAAGAAGTTGAGCCCTCAAAGTCCCTTAGAGCATCGTCATCAGCCAAATGAATTGATGATGATACGTTTTCTTGGACAGACAGAGAGCGAGAGTCACTACTATTGCTAATTGGTGCTTCAGGAGGCTGCTGTTGAGGATTATCTTCCAGTGATAGAACATTGTTGACTGGGCAAAAGAAAAGCTTCAATAAGAATCAAAAGATTATATAGACGTTGACCGTTACTTCTTAAAAGTCTAAAGTTTGGTATTGTTTTGCTTGTAACGGAATTAGATATCTACAGTAAATGGAATCAGGTTTATAAAATATTTTTAATGGCAACACAAAAGATCGGGAAAAGTATCTTTACGTTACAAGACGCAATTATTTTCAGATACGTTACATGAAAAGTGAGAGACAAGCTGGAAAAAGTGAACCTTTTTACTGAGAAAACATACCAGGTACTAAAGCTGATACTCCAAGAGCCTCGCATAGACTCGGAGCGTATTTGCGAAGAAAGGCGACATCAAAAAGATTCTGGACTTTGTCGGCATCGAAAGTGTATGCTAAACTGAATGCAGCAAGAAAGTGCAGAAAACCCAACACCTCCACAGGATTCTCTGCCTTAAGCAGAGTTGTGTTCTTACATTCGGTGGCAAATTTGATAGCTTCTCCTTGTACTTCAGCCTTGGGTTTTGGTGATATATCCATTAAGCATTCCAGCAAGCAGATGCTACTCCTTCTAACACTATTCAGATCAAGATTTGTCTCTGCCGTCCTTTCATGAGCAGAGCAAAGCCCTTGTATTGTGCCTAACACAAGCTTTGCCGGGTCAGAAGATGCTTTAAGAGAACGCAGAACATCGAGGTGAAGCTGATGACATTTCTTCATTTGCCCACGTAAGAGTAGCTGCAAAGTTTTCTCGTCGCATACATTAGCATCTCGTACCAAGTCAACTTGTTGATCCGGTTGTTGACAAAAGCTGGACAACTGCTTTGCTCTCAGCTCAATTTCCTTTAAAGATTTAGCCAACTTCTGTTCTGTTGATTTCAGTTGCTGATCTTTATTATCAAGCTCCTTCTCTTTCAGTACAAGTCCCTGCTCACGTTTCATCAACGATTCTTTTAATCTGACTTGCTGCTCCTCTTTAGAATGGGCGTCTTTCAAGCTTTTTTGAATCTTTTTCAGATCGCTTTCTTTCGATCTGAGTTCAGCAGTAAGGTCAGTAATTGACCTTTGAACCTCATCACAATGTTTGCTCTTAGCCTCCAATTCACCTGAGCATTCCCTAACCGACTTGTTGATTAAAGAAACCTCTTCTTGTTTCAACTTGAGTTGTCTAATAAGTTCCTCACTAGAGTTATTCAAATGTTGCATTTTCTTCTCTGCTTCCTCCACTTGTTTATTTCTCTCAGTGAGTATTGACTGTAAAGTCTTCAACTCCTTCTCTTTGATATCCATGTTGTGGACGCATTCTCTGAGCGTATCCTTCACAGAGCGAAGTTCCGTTTTCGTTGAATCCCACTCTTTAATGCATCTTTCTAGATGTCTTCTAGTCGAATCCAGTTTTTTCTCTTTTGAATGTTGTTTTTCAGAGAGTTGCTCGATAAAAACTTTAGCTCTTTCCAATGTCTTCTGCTTAGAGTCAATCTCCAAGGATAGTTTGCGAATAGCCTCCTTTAGCTCATTCTGTCTCTTCTCTTTAGAAGCAAGCTCTTCAGTGTGTTCCTCAATCAACGACTTGATTGATTCATAATGTGAACTCCTATCCTCAATCAGCATCTGAATGTCCTTCAACTCCTTCGCTTTTGATTCTACCTGTTCGCAAGTCTCCTTCATGTCGTTCTTCAGTGATAGGACCGTCTCCTCCGTCAAGTCAAGGTCCAGACTCAGTTCTTTCAACTCTTTCTGTTTAGTAACAAGTTCTGAGGACCGTGTCCCAAGGAGCTTCTCACATTCTGCAGTTTTGTCCTGCACCGACGTGAGGTAATTTTTCTTTCTCTCAATTTCCTCATCCAGTTCTCTCACGCATGTTTGAGTCTTCTCTAAGTGCTCCTTCTCTGCGCTGACCTCAACACGATGCCTCTCAAGATCCGTCTCCATCTGTGCTAACTGTTCCCCTTTCATATCAAGCTCAGCCTGAGTCTTTCTCAACGATTCGACCATATCATTAAGTTGACTCGTCTTTGACATTTGCTCTGCTGTACACTCCTCCACTGATTTCCACAGCAGAGTCAATCTCACTTCCTCTGTGATGAACTCGCTTTGAGAAACCTCGACTTTGTTCCTAAGAAAGTCCAAATCTTTACTTGTTTCTTCAATTTCCATCCGAAACCCATCAGATTTCATCTCCAATTCACCCGCCTCAGTTTCCGCTGCTTCAACCGCTTTAGCCCTTTCATCAAGTGCGAAGCTTCTGTTTTGCAACTCCGCCTCCTTCGCCTCTACTTCCCTCAGCCTCTTCGCTATCTTCTCTTCCGCCGATTTCAGAGTAGCCTCTATATCTGACCACTGAAGACATAAGACGAGTATATCCGAGGCTTGAGAGTTGATCTTCTCAAATGCTTTACGGAAATTTTCTCTCTTTACCCCGCAGAGCTTCAACTCGTTTTCCACCTTAATCTCCTCCATGGCCTACGATATCTTCAACTCCAAGGAAGAGTTGCTAAAAAAAGGAAGAAATGTCACGGAGACGGAAACCAAACCACCCGTAAACGAAGCTCTCTGGCGGATTCCGAACAACAGGAAGAACAAAAAACCCTAAAAACACCGCCTTTCGAGTTTCCGTACGAAACCAGCGAAGGATCAACGAGAAAGAGAAACAAAAAAATTAGGGCTTTTTTGACTGATGAAAGGAGTGGGGAGTGGGGAGCAGCAATTGAGAGATGAATGCTTGCAATCGGAGAAATTCAAAGATCTAAAAGGCGAACGGAAAGCGAAGGGAGGAATCAAATGGAAAGCGTAGACGAGAAGAGAAAAAAAGGAAGACCCTTTGAAAACTGTACGACGGCGAGCATCGACTGTGTGTTTTCCTTCTTTGACAGTTTTGACAGAGACACGTCTCCCTTAATTAATGCCTCTTTTTTAATTAATAGTAAACCAGATTATATCACTCTGCTTTTAAACCCAAACTTACCCATAAAAAAAGGCTTATATACTGTAATTAGCTCCGCGAAATCGCCACGATTAAATCGAATCGAATCTTGGATTTCTTTTTCTTTTCCTCTACATATATATCATTGGGTTCAGTTTTTGGACATACAGATATTTGTGGTGTTTTAAAATCAATTTATATATTAATCAAGTATATCAATTAATTTATAATTCTAAAATTTATTTTGTCTGACATGTCATATGGGATAACAATAATGACATGCCGCCTTTTTCCAATGTCCCAATCAGTCGATTTTTATATGTCAAATGCTCAGTAAAATCACAAATATATATATATATTTTTTAATTTCGAGCACGAGCTTTTCTTTGTTTCAAACTCAAAATTCAAAAACAAAACAAAAAAAACATGCCAATGATGTGGCCACTAGTATAGTTCATAGGAGTGATGGTGAGCAAGAAAATATTAAAGTCCCCACCAGTATGCCACGTCATCATGTTCACAAACCTGTTAACTGTTTAATATTGATGACCAATTGACCATGCATCTTCTTGACTTTTTTTTTTTTGAAAAGAACATCTTCTTCAAATTATTCCATATTTCGTAAGTATATAATGATTAAAAGATGAAAAAAACGGTATACTGAACATTGTTTTTAAGTTTCGATAAAATGTGATCCCATGCTCAAGAAGATGAGGGTTCAAGCACACGTTTGTTTATATCTAAACGAGATTTCTATACTATGATTTAGTTTGCCTAACGTTTTTATAGATACAAATTTATGTCTGATTTAACCATATGGTTCCAGTGTTCATGTATCTAGCAACATTACTCCATAGCTTTCTACTCCATTTTCGTCATCAAATTCAAAGCCTCAAAAGAAAAGAAACATTTGTTGTAAAGAAAAGCATAATTTAACATTTAATTTTCATTTTGTATCCTCGTGTTCTATAAAATTGTTTCACTTGCCGACTAATGAAAATAGCTCTTGGCAGAATTTGCCAAAACTTTTACATAAATTCAGATCTTTTTTTTGGAAAAGACGTATCACTTGGATGTATTTGACTTGGTTGTGTTTTTTAGTTCAATTGGATAATTTTCTTCCTGTTCTTTTCAATAAATCTTCTGCCACTTTCTACTTTAGTCACATCCTCACATGCATAGCTCATATTTCTAGTAAATTGTTATTACACGGTTTGTTTTTTTATATTAAAAGTAAATAGAATAAATGTCTTGTCTATACTGTAAATACTAGAAAAGCCCATTTACCAACAAAATCACTTGGTGGGCCCTAATTTTGGTTCAAGAATCTGATTACAAAGCCTACTTTTTAGGGAATTCGAAAACAAGAAAATCCTTGAGAGCCGGGGGAATTTCAGCATGTCAGTAGGTTTTACCTAAACAAAGGGAACAAACTGATTAATTAAACCTAATTTGGTTTGAACAAGAGCCATTGGTATTAGATAAAATATTCAGAGAAATATGACATCTCGTCTCGGAAATCTCAGGCTTTACAAGTTTGATGTGCCTTATCACTCCAACGTCGGAGTTATTCTAGTAACCCAAGAAGGTGGAGACACGGGCTATCGATTCCGATTGACGCGTTACACGGGCCAACAACCGCAAAGAGATTCAAGGGCTGGATTGTCCCAATCATTTGCAGACTTGCTTGATCGTTTCTTCTTTTTCGACAAGAAAGATTCCAACATAACCAATCAGGTCTTGACCTACTTAGTCTCCAATTTCTCTTTCAATGACCTTGAAGTCGTGCCTCCCGCGTGTCCCGTCCTAGTTTTCCACTTCCATATCAGAGAGCTGCATCACGAAGATCCTGCTCCTCAGATTGATATCACAGAGGCTGTTATGGATGTGTTGAGGCTCGAAGACACTATCTTGGATGTAGATGATGTCGGATTCGGAAACAGATTTGTACCAATAGCTCCGACCTCAACGGAGATTGTAGATTGCTTCAGAGGTCAAGAGTCGTCGTGTTGTTGTACTCTTTGTGGAAAAGGGTATCCAAAAGAAGAGGAGATTGTTTACAAAACAGTATGCAATCACATATTTCACGCTACTTGCATCTCAAGTCACTTGTTGCGTGTTCCTCAGTGTCCTGTCTGCTCCAGAGAGCTGCTGCCTGTAGATATCCGAACCCTTCTCTTTTAGAATCCATTTTCAAGGTTTTGTATCTAACGTTTTGATTTCGGTGTTTATGTTTTTATTTCAGTATTGTATTTCAATCCATAGTAAAACAAAATTTCTCAAATAGTTAGAATTGTTATTGTACAATGCGTTGACGATTATCTTAATTTATATATTTGATGCGAAGAAGAAGACTTTGGAAGATACCTCCTTATATTTAACACTCTGACGATAGTAACAATCAATGAAAGTATGTTTAACAAGTCTAACATATATAATTAGTCGCTTGACATTGATTGAATATACTCAATTTGATTTGAATACACTAATATACAACTAATAAGTTTTGAATTTAAAAGTTCATGATTCGTGAGATTAGAAGCGAACAATAAATCTCTCCGGTGATTAAGCGAGAGAAATGACGAGGGGAGCTTTTAACGATCTTGATGAGAAAGTGGTTCTTAATTTTTCCGGTTATTTATATGTTATAGTATTTACGTGTAGACCCAAATAACTCATATATTTGCTAAATGTAACCTCAATATTTGGAATTGATCAGAAATCATTTTCGTTTCTCAATCCACCAAAAGATTCCATATATCCAAATCCAGTCTCGCTCCTCTCGGATTTCTAAAGGTTGTCCTTCTACTCTACGCTCTAGCTTTCTCTCTGTTCTCTGATTCGTACCCACTGATAAAATGCGATTTCTCGGGGAAGTAGCGGAGTCACCTTTTCTGATTTCACGGCTAAATCCTAATTCGGCGGCCAAAGGATATGGAGGCGGCGGGTTTATCGTCGGATGGGTCGATAGGTGCCATGGATTCCTTCATAACACGGTTCTCGTCGCGGCTTCTCTCTTCTTTGTCGCCTACTTAGCTTACGAGGCGAAGAAGAGCTTCTCTAAACTCTCGAATCGGAGATCTTACATCATGATCGCCTACTATGGCTGTCTTTGGCTCGTTAGCTTGCTCAATCTTGCTTGGTGCTGCCTCCAGGTTTGTCGATTTCTATTCATTTCTCGAGTAATGAATGATCGATCAGTCAGAACTTTGATTGAATTGATTGAGCTAATATAGACCATACTAGTCTCGTTGAAACTCAATTTAGAAACTGTTTGGTGTTAAATCGTTCATGAGCACTGATCTTAAATGAAATTTTACAACTTTGGGAGTAATTCGAATAGTTATTGGATAGGTGTAAGATGTGTATGTTAGGAAGATCGTAACTGTAAAAATCACCGTTTATGGAAGTTCCCTGAATTTGATTATTTGTTTGTGTATCCTGTTTTGTAAATTCTGTGATTTGCATGTTCTAGGGTTGGGAATGCACTCCTGGGAAAGAAGTAGCTTGGAATCTATTAACTTTGTTCACAACATCTGGAATGTTGTTCCTGGAAGTAAGCTTGGTGGCTTTTCTCTTCCAAGGAAACTATGCAAGCGGTGCACAAGCATTAACTAGAACTTTCCTAATCTCAGGGTTTATCATTGGCCTCGATTTGCTTCTCAAGGTATCATCTTGTTCATGACTATTACATATTCGCTACTTTGTCTACTCTTATACCTTAGATATGGTGAAATGACAAGTTTAGAGTTGTTAAGGCTGAAGTTGGTTCTGCAAAAACTTCCTGAAAAAAGTTGAGGCCTTATCATCTCCGTAATCGTTCTCGCTTATTACCTTTTTTCAGGCAATTTATCTCTTTGGGTTTGGCGTGCCGTTGTTTATTGACAACAATGAAAATGAACAAAAGTTCAAATGGGGATTATGGGTCATTCACAAGCTCCTACTCACTGGCGTTTATGGAATAATATTCTTGATGTACAACTCTAGGTGGAGAGAAAGATTACCCGGTAAGTTGATCAGATGCTTTCATCTTCCTTATGCTCGCAGTAGCCCATAACAGCCTTCACTGGTTTCTTCTATATCTCATCCTTCATATCTTCTTATTTTTATCAGCAAGGCCTGCATTCTACAAGTACATAACCATCATGTTCGCCTTGTACGGACTTTACCTAGTTGCATCTGCGTTTACTGCACATGGTGCTCATTTTGGATTCTGGTAACTCTATCTGAAACCATAACAACATAGGCTACTCTCTCATGTTCAGCTTTTATCTGCCTTTTAACACAACGGTAAAAAAAAAATTTCAAATGCTTGTAGGTTATACGGAATCATGAGTGTCTGCTACCACTCGCTATACCTTCCTCTTCTTTACATTACTTTTCTCGCAGACTTTTTCCAGGTAAAGTCCATCATCATTCATCTTCTCTCTCTCTCTCTCTCCACCCCTCGCTCTCTCTTATGTGAATGGCTTTGCTGCAGGAAGAAGATCTGAACTTGGAGAATGTATACTACTCAGAGATGAAGGATGCTGGATTTTTCGATGCTGATTGGGAATAGCCAGGACTCGGGTAACAAACATCTTCCTAATCTTATGAAACTGTAAATAGAAGTTGGGTACGATCTCTTAGGAGTCGAGGTATTGCCGCTTTTTAAGGCTTTGGTTTACTTTTTAGTGTTTAGTCTTGTCACTTGTGTTACGAGTCTATGTAGTATGTTTGTGTCTGTACTCTCGAATAAACGTGTAGCATTCTAGTCTTCCTTGTCTTTTATAAAATCAAGTTCATGTGAATCTCTCTGTTGTTCAAACTGATAATCTAAAAGGAAAGCTTTTGTAGTAGTCCAAAGATTTGACACAGTAAACCACTAGGGCAAAGACATACAAACATGACACATTTGAGAAAAGACTAGAACAAAAGACAAAGGCCTCTGTTTGGTCTCTTCTTCTTTTGGTTGTTTTCTTCATTAAGCGGTCCCCTGTTGGACGAGTTCTTCAATGAGTTCAGCAGCTTGCTGCACTGTTGCAATCTCCTTAGCTCTCTCTTCCGCCATTGTTATCCCGAACTCTTCCTCCAAACCCATCACTATCTCAACCTGCAAAAACTCTCATAGGGCACGATTTGTTGAAGATGGCCAAAAGAGTTTTGACATAAAAGAAACAATGGATGGAGCAATTTGGTGGATACCGTGTCGAGAGAATCAGCTCCAAGTTCAGTAAATTTGGTTCCGGCGGTGACTTTCTGATCATCAGAAAGCGACAATTGCTTCCTCACAATCTCAGACACTTTCTCCACTGTCTCTTGCTTAGCCTAAACCACAAAAAATAAATCACATTACCTTTCAAAGTCATTTAAAGGCAAAGATCAAACAGACTCAAGAACTCGATGACAAAGTGGAGTTAAAAATCAACGTACTGCACAAGATATTGCGAGGCGAGGAGCAGGCACTGAACGTTGCAGGCTGAAGGAAAGATTAGTCTTTCCATTGCTGAAAATCGAAGCCGGTTTCTGGAGACTGAATCTAGTTGTTGTAGCCTGTTCTCATCATTGCATTGGACAACGACAAATAATATTTCATTCAGAGACCAAGAAAGCAATGAGGGAGTTTTCTACAACCATAGCTACGATTTGACAGATTCCAAATGCAAGTGGGTCTCTCATTGATAACAAACAAAAAAGATGCTACGAATTCTTCATTCAGAATATTTAGAAAAAAACGCGGCAGGATTGTGTTTTTACAATTTTGGAACGATAATCATAACAATCGGGACAAATAATCTCTCTAAAGTATCGCCAGAACAAAGCTTTCTATCGAATAATATAAGATGAAGAAGATGGAGATGTACCGAGACACGAGCTTGCATGGAGATCGAAGAGCTGAAACTTGTCGCCATTATCGATCTTCACGCCTGATCTGATCTGATCTGATCGAGAGAGATGGCGGATTGTACAAGGAGCGTGAATTGCAGTGGTAGCTGTCTGCTGGAGGCACTTGCGGGATTTATTTATAAACTGGTTTAGCAAAACGACACCGTGTTGTAAGACAATCACATGATATCACTTAGACACTATTTGGGCTCTTGTAGGGCTCGTTCTGGGAACTCGAACATCACGTGTCAGCCCAATCATAAATATTCGGCAATCGGAATGTTTTTGTTCGAGAGTTAAAGAGTTTTTATTGCAAACGGTCGTGTGATGATGTTATCTTTAATACTCAAAACGATTTATTGCACACTTGCCGCAATCAATTTTACCAAACTCTATTTGCATTCGGTTTAGTAATTTATACAAGACAATAAAGGTTGCTAAACCTTTGTTTTGACCAAAGTAAAACAACAAAGAAGGCATTTTTTTTTTATTCCACTTGTCCAAAATCGAACCAAACCGTACCAATCCGGGCCGGTCGAGTTTGAACCAATAACAAATTCAGAAACACATAAACAAAATTATGTAGTTTTTGATACAACAAAACAAATACGAGGATATACATCAATCAAACCCCCCTCCAAAGCTTTTTCTCATGTTTTTTTGGTTTCTGCTCTCAAAACGTAGGACAGCTTCCTGTCCTCACAAACAATATTACAAATGGATAATTACACAAAAAGTATAATTTGAATCACCTTTTTCTACAAAACAAAAAAAAAAAAAGCTTTTGTTCTTCCCACGTTAAGCTTTGCCGAGATCAGGAGGGTTTCTCTCAGTAGGAGAGCCAGGGACGAAGGGGACAAAGCCACGTCCTCCAAAGACGGGTCGCATGAAGGAGTCATCAAACTGTCTCCAGTAGTAATGCACGGTTCGAGCGGGCCGTGTGATGAAACCGCGTATACTGTTAGGTCGAGGCACATTGTGGTTCCCTGCAAACTCAATGAACGAGTCTTGGTCCAGCAAAGGGATCTGCAAGGAAGTTGGGGTGTTGTTGTCGTCAGATAACATGCTCGTCGTGGCTTTCTGGTGCGGCAACAGGTGTCTTATGAGCGGTTTCGTCAGCATACCAAACACCTGAAAAACCCGGTTCAAGAGAATCTATTAGCCACAAAATACCCAAATCCAACTAAAGAGAATACGTTACGTAACTCAATGAGCATCCAGAGATATATCTTACCACGGTGCTGAAAAGACAGACGGTTATAGTACTGGTGATCATGATTGCATTCCCGCGCAAATCTGTGCGCCCAGCCCTAGTAAACTGCGATAGAAACAAGTGTAGAATTGATGATTTTGAGTCACTGAAAGCTTCATAGAGAGTAATAAATAAATAAAGACAGTTCTTTTTATACCTTGTTGTATGCAAGAGCCATTGATACAGCACCTCTCATGAGACCAGACCACCATATCACAACCTTGGGAACGGGAAGAGAAAAAGATAGATATAAACAGCTGAGATCCAGAATAATCATTAAATCTATTAGTACCGATGTAGGAACGATTCATACTTGCATCTTAAAGTTGATTTTCTCGCTTTGGTTCTTCTTGGCTAAGTTTGAAAGAAATGATAACGGAAAGACGAATGCTGCTCTTCCAAGCATGAGCAGACCTATTAGGATTGAGCTCACTGCGACTGATGTTCCCGGGCTGTCACTCACGGATCTCCACTTGTCAATATCCAAGGCATCCATTCCCACATACAAGAAGATAAATGTCTCCGCAAGAAACGACAAAGTTGCAAAGGTATGCCTGTGACATCGAAAAAATGCATATGATTAAGCATCGGGAAGTGATGTACAAAGGAGTTATTAACTGAGCAAAAGGTGGCGAGACTGGAGATTTTCATACTTGGTAGTTATTCTTGAGCTCTCGGTTACGTTGTGCCAGGTGTAATGTGACATCACAATCCCACAGAAAAACACTGTGAGGATACCACTCAAGTCGAAAAGCTGCAACCCAAACAATATAACATCAATATAATTTGTATTTGAATGCAATCGACTATATTCGTGTTCAAATTCCTCTACGAAAGTGGTTTGGAATACCATAAAATATTACCTCAGCAAGCATATAAGAAAGATACGCCATAAGCATCATGAGTGCAACCTCTCGGTCGGTTGAGTGTCTGAGACATGCCATGTGAGGAAATCTACATTAGACCAAACAAGAAAACAAATTGCAGAAAAACAGAGTCACATATACTACGCCGAAAATGTACCTTCCAAAATATAGCTTTTTGATGACATATGCACTTATCAGACCGGTCTGCAAGATGGAATAACGAAGATTTTAGATGGTGTGAACATAAGAGCATGCAAATAGCAGTCACAAGAAAGAATGGCAGGCAAAGAAACCAATATACTTACTGCTGCACCAAGCAAAGTGCTCAGGAGAAACAAATACAAGAAGTTTCCAAGAAGATGGAAAGCAGCTTCATGGTTAAGGTGGGTGAGGTCAAAGCTCTGAATTGCATTGAAGATTACAACTGATGTGGCATCATTCACAACACCCTCTCCGAATACAAGACTGTAAAGCAAAGGTGTCTCATCTTGATTCAGAACCTATACCACAACACAGGAGGAACAAATATCTTTTGGTCCACTTTGCTTATGGGTTTGTAAGTACTTTCAGTAATCGGAGACGACACATTACCTGCAGTGTGCACACAGAATCTGTTGCAGCAAATATGGCACCGATTGCTGAGAATTAAAACACCGACAAAAAATTAAGTCCCCGGGGGTGAAAACCGAAAAAGCAATGGAAGAAAAAAAGAGAGCAAAAACCCATTGGTTCAGGCATTACCAAGATAATCACCCAAGTCAAAGGTCCCAATGTCCAATTTCTTAAAGAACTGCGTTACACCTGTTTCAAGCACCACCAGATTATCAGTAGATATACAAAATTGATCTGGCAACCTAACAGATTAATGATCCACAGGACCAAATCCTTAAGCAGCTTTCAACTGTATTTCAGCCAAAGGAGAAGGGAAGTAAGGTACCTAGAGTTATTACAGTGCAAGAAATAACAGTTCCAATAGCACCAAAAAGCATGATAGTTATGAAATTCCGGAAAAATTGCTTCTTTTTAACTTGAAACCTGAAATAGACAATAACAGCAATAAAATTATCGATCTGAGAAATATCTGGAAAGCATACAGGAAAAATGAAGCCGAAAAGAGTAAATCCATGACAATGACAGAGCAGGACCACTTACTGGCACGTGGATAAATCTAACCTACTGACCAAACACATCATGCGCCGTTTCTTTTCAACAATCACAAGTACTAGACAAGTTGATTTATGACAGGTATTTATAAAAGCAGAACCTAAGCTTTCTACTCAACATCTTTAAAGCTTTGTACTTATATCACCTAGAATCACATAATGTCTGTTTTTAAAAACTAATTTTGGTGTAAAGTTTTTGTTTTGCATCTTTTTATATAACTTTTTTGTAGGTAAAACTCGTGCTACCTAAACATATCAGATCGTTCATATACCATTTAGTAAAATCTTCCTCTATAGCACAAAACCCTACAAAAGTAAGTCCTACAATAAAAAGATTATCTAGCGGTGAAAAAGAAAAATGCAACTGTAATCTCAACGAGGAGCAAAAGGATTCAAAAAACTGACCCTGCATTGAATATTATGGGCGGCAAAAGATATATGAAGAAAAGATCTTCACTGAAGACCAGAAGATGTGAGCTTTTTCCTTTACTAATCAACAAAATGACAACACCAGTGGCCAGCCCCTGCAACCAAATCGCTAAAACGTCATTAAAGATGAAGAAACATGCGTGATTATAAAGTTTTAAACTCAGTAATCAATCATAAATTACACAGGCTGCACCAACGTCCGTGATTCCCTTATATTCAAGATGATAGACGATTCAGTGAACTTACAATCATTAAGGCGGTGATGGATTCGTTCATCCATCGGTTCTCCTCCAAAAGATGGCCAAGCACAATGCAAGCACAGAGAAGGGCAACAAAGAGATTCAACGAAACCACAGAGGCGTGATCAGAGGTCGATAACGAGGGCATGTTAGATACGAAGGAATCGAAATACGATGCCAGCATTGTCATCTTCTAAGATGCACCCCTCCAAGAATACTTTTCACCGATCAAGTACACAAAAAAACTATCGAGAGATCAACAAGTACAACGTTCAGATTTGGATCAGCAAATCGGAAATCTATAATCTTTCCGTGCTGTCCATTGACACAAGTTCCTGTTATATAACAACATTCAGGATGTTAGTTGTAAGGAAATCAATTACTTTGAATTCTCAATCCCTGTAATTATGCTTGTTAATGACTGTTTTAGTATTCCTTTTTTCGTAATCTTATTAATTTCTACACGTTAAAAAAGATAAACTTGTTTAGAAAAGGAAGATAGAGCTAAGTGACTAAGCCGAAAAGCAACTACTTCTCTGCTTTCAAAAATCAGTGATTTCGACTAGCTTTTTTACACATTAAACATTATATAAAAAAACACAAAGGGTTCAAAAAGTGAATCCAAATCTGAGAGACTCTTTAACGCAAAAAGAAAGGAGCACAAACAAATCCCAAAAGGCTAATCTCTATAAATTATTACAACGTAACCAAACTCTGAGAATTTGCCATTTTTGGTAATAACCCAATCTAAGTCAGACAGGAATTAGGTTGAACTTAATCGTCCCAGATTTTGTTTCCTCATTTTTTCCCAGCAACAAAAACACAACTTAAAAAAAAAACGATGGTGGATCTGAATTGCTTACCTCAATCGCTTCCGCGTGATCTAATTATCTCCAGGACGAATTAAGTTCGTCTGAAAGGCAAACACTAATAGTCTAAGATCACGGTGAAGAAACAAATCAATACGGAGATCGAAATTCAAATTTCCGAAGCTCCGTAGCTAAAAGCCTGAGATTCTTCTACACGAACGTCAACAAACGTAAAACACACGAGCAGAGACGCGATTCGAAGACCAGAACGAAGATGATGAAGGAATCGAGCAGAAAACAGGAAGAGAAAATTACGCGACTGAGAATTATGCGAATTCGATTTTCTGTAAATAGAGAGAGACGTGTACGGTCCTGCTGCGTGGAGAGACAGAGGGGGAGAAAGAGAGAGAGGATTCTAATTTCTAAAACACAGTGGAGAGAGAGAGAGAGAGAGAGAGAGAAATGAACAAATAGGAGAGAGAGTATTATTCTCTGCAGGTCAACTAGCACAAATGGTCGAATCTCAACCGTCGATTTAAATTACTTTCTCTGATCTGAACAGTTAATTGTGTCTGGGGTTTATTGCGGAACACGTCGTAGGGGATAAAACTCTGACAAACAGTTTCGTCTTTTTTGATCATTGGTTTTTTTCTATTTGATCTGTCTCTTTATTTTACATTAGTTCATGGAGATTCAAGTTTTGTCAATCACCTTGTTTGCTGAACCTAAATTAGACATAAATCTTAGGCAAGTTAATATGCACAGATACAATACTTCGTATAAAATATGTTGAGATCACAAGATTCAATACTTCGTATAAAATTAGTTTGTAATATATATAAAAATAAGTTGTAACTTAAAATTTAATCAAATAAAGTCTACTAAGTATTTTTGTACTGATTTAATTTAGAATTATTAAACATAATACTAATTTATGTTCTTGACCTTGTGGTACCTGATTTGCTAGAACAGGTACATATTTTTAACTGCTTTCAAGTGTCAATTCTGTTGGAAATGTTTTGTCTAATGATATAGTATACAGTATATGATTTGTGTGAATACTGACTTCCTTAATTACTCATGATTAAGCGTAACGATGGTGGGATTTGGATGTGTGCACATTAACTATATTATATATCATATATACGTTTTGGCTTCATGTACTCGAACTTTTAATATATGGACAATATGCTACATACAACTAGAGATAAATACAAGTTTCAGGATCTGAATCTCACAGCGAAAGTAACATATGAGCTAACCTAGAATAAATATAAATATACGAGTGATCCTTCTGTTAAGTGTTAATTAGTTTAGATAAAAACTCATAAAGTCATTAGATTACTGCCGAATTTCCTCCTAAAAAGTCTATATTTCATAACCATAGGATCGACTAGTAATCTAGGCATATGCTCGTATATATATATGTCTTAGGGTTTGGAACTTTGGATCAAAGTTGTAATTCCTGATTTTTATATTTTAGTGAAATCCAAAGTAGCAGATAGTAAACACATCCTTCACTTTGATGGTGAACTCTTGTCATTTACCTGCTTCTAAATCTTTTTTTAAAGGTCGGATATGACACAGTTGCTTTTTTTTGTTTTTCATGACACAATTGTTCATACGAAAATGTTTACAAAATTGAATTTAATTTGGATATTCTTACTTTTTTTTCAATCGTGACAGGTTTTACAGATCTTCTCGTGACCAATTCACCTAATTTTTGTTGTTGTTGCAATTTTGTTCTTTTACTGAAATTTAGAGGGATTAATGATCCCCAATTATCGAGTCATGTTTTTCTGTCAAGATAGATTATTATAATCGTCAAGATTCAATCTACGTGAGGATAATATATATACAAACGTCTTAATCTAATCATACAATCTCCAAAGTCTGTCCACGTCTTAGAAATTATTAGAGAAAGCTGACTGAAATCTTCATAAACAAATCATCTGAATTTCGATAATATTGGATTATTATTTCCAAACATAAATACAATAGTCAAATACTTAACGTGCAATTTAGTGAGAAGCAAGAGAAGATAAGTTTACTACCTGAGAAATTGTTTTCATTATTACGGTTATCATACATGATACATGAATTGCCCCATGGCTTTTCGAATATTTGAAGGTCATGTCAAATTTCTTTTAAGAAATATGTGATATCAAATAACGCAATTCAGCAAAAAAAATAAAAAATAAAAAATAAAATAAATAAATAACGTAGTGCCAAATGTATATATTATAAGTATCGAGTTCTTTTGGAATTAATGATTATGTACAAATGCATCACCTAAACATCCAATTATATAGTCATATTTCCAAATTTTGCTATTCACGAATGACGAATGACGACGAATCACAATAGTTCTATTTGTTTCTCTTTAGCTATTTTTTGAAGAAAACAAGATATAATAATTTTGAAATTGTCTGAGGACTAAAAAGAGGCTGTAGCCCTAAAGGACAAAAAGAGAATTTACTTCAGAAGTTTACTAACTCATTACGTAAAAAGATTGTTCATTTTTCTTCAGAGTTTGGAGATAAACTTTCATTTCTTCGAAATATTTTTTTATTTGGTAATTGTTAGATTGTTATTAAAGCAAAAGAATGTTGTTGTCTTAAAGAGAAACTTCTTAAATAAGTTATATATTATCTCCGTTCCAGAAAATATGATGTTTTAGCTTGTTTACATAAATTAAGGAAGAGTTACTTTTTAGTTATTAGCGCATTACTTTTTTACAATCATTACTTATTAACCAATAGCGATTTAAGGATTTGAATAGTTTTAATTATTTTTTTTAAAATCTACAAAAATATATATTTAATACTTTAAAACATCAATCTTAATGGAACAAATAAAAAATCTAAAACATCATACATTTAGGAACGAAGGGAGTATATACCAGAGTGAAGGCAAAAGATTAAAAATACTCATAAAACACTACGCACAACACCAAAGTCTATGACATCAGAAATTTTTACTTCATTAATTATGGATGTGTCATGTTTTCTGAAATTGTGTACAACACAAAAATGACATATTCTAGAGAAGTAGCAACGCCTTTTTTTCTTATAGCAAGTTCAACATGACAAACCTCGTTTTTGCATCATAAGCTCAAGGAAAAACTTCTCCTCAATGTATCCGATCATCATCTGTGTGCCAACAAAAAAAAAAAAAGCTTGCTTCTTGTTGCCTCTCTCGCAAGATCTTCTTTCTCGAGTAATTTACATATCTGTACAACTTCTGTCTCGTTGTAAGAATTCATCCTCCTGTCTCTCTTTAACTTCATACGTGTAGTATAATGGTCCTCACAAAACACTGGCCAACCCAATTGTTTCCCCTTCGTCTTCTTTAGCTTCGGAAGTGTTTGCTGGTCCGCGTGACCTTACTAGAGGTAAGAAAAGATTTTCACAAAAGTCAATAAGTTGAGCATTAACATGAAACTTGCGTCGTGTAGAGGAGTTTGAGATGCTTACAAGTGACGTTGGTGATAACATTCACGGTTTTCTGGGCAGCAAGTGCTCTTAAGTTGTTCCCTGTACCTAACAGCAACAAGCTCTTCATGAGTTGCTTCTGTTCTTTAGGACTTGGAGTTTTCGCCAAAGATTCTTCGAAAGCACGCAAGTCGTTGGGCGTGAGACAAGGAAGTGAAAGCAAAACCTGATACCATCGAAGAAAAAACGATCAAACCATATTAGACTCAGCCTTTACATAAGGACTTGTGAGTGGTTGATTCTACATAAAAAAAAAAACTGACCTGACGGGGAGCTGGGTCTCTGTCAGAGAGATAAATAAATATTTCACGGCACAGACTAACTAGATCAGCGCTGTTAACAGCATTTGACTCCATGGCTAAGCCTCTAATGACCGCAGTAAACAAATCTTTGGACACAAATTCTCTGAGCTCCACGTTATTTGTTAGAATCGCTAGAAGGACAACAACACCACAAAAGCAACAGACTTTGGTGGTTGCTTCACCATCTGTCCATGTAAATACTTCCAAACAGATCTGCAGTGCTGGGAGAGCCACGTTTTTGTGATTTAGGAGGAAACTGCAAACACGATACATTATTAACTCTCTTTTCATCCAAAAGTTACCAAGAAAAGAAGTTGGAAAAAGAGAACATTATTACATACCCGACCACAGAGTTGGATTTGAATGCAAGCAAATCCTTGAGAGTAGACATGTCAATACGTCCCACATGGCCTGACTGCTCCAAAACAGGAAGCCCTGGGTTTAAACTGGGGGAAGCCATTGTTGAGAGGAGGTTGGCAATCTCTCTAGTTAAATCCCTCAGCAGTTTTTCTTCCATTACTTCAAGTTTCATGTCCGGCCCATTTTGTACACCGAACGAATCTGGAACTTGTGCTCTGCCCTCACGCATAAGACTGGACCAAGAGGAACTAATAGCTTTCTGACAATGAGTAAATAATGGGTGCAGGAGCACTTCAAGCCATGACTCCCACATATTTGCCGGACAAAATTTTACTACATAAACTACAAAGGAATGAATAAGCTGTCGCATGTGTCTAAACTCCATTGACTGTAGGTTCTCCATGAGTGCCACTGCGACATAGTTAGCATCTACACATTTGAAGAATGTATCTCCGATTGTTGCTGATAGACCCAACACATAGTATCTGCATATATAGACAATATTTGTCACACAAAAAATTGATGAAGTATAAAATAACCAGGAGATGAGAAAAAAGATAAAAATGCCCCGTGTAAGGCCTATAGAAGGTTACTAGATGCTTACCCACTATCTCGGATACCTTTCAACCAATTTCGCACATCAGATTCACTTGCCTCAGATTGTCCTTTACCACCATCAAAAGATCCATCAGCATAAACAGACGAGACTTTGGACAATTTAGGATTTGCTTCCCCAAGGAGACTGTATCGCTCAACATCAGCCATTGTCATAGCTGCCCTCATCTCTGGGGGAAGTGTTTCATATACTGAGGGAGACCAAAGGGAATGGATAACACGAAGAAGCTGTAGAAACAAGATAAATGAGTGTTATCATGTTAATCGTGCGAATAATCCTGGCTAAATTTTGGTAGCGACCAAGTTTAATTACGTTTTGACTACGGATATCCAAGTTTTGAGGGAATATACACATACTTTTAAGAGAGGTGGCAACATCCAAGAAAGATGATGAGCCATAGGATGCAAATCTTGACTTGTTACTAAGGTCGTATTTAAGTTGCTTTTTCTGTGTCCACTTCTCTTGACCGCCTTCTCAAAGAATGTAACTGTGTGGAACAAAGACCACATGAAGGGTGTGTTCGAGCACAAACGAACAAGACCCATAGGGTCTGATAGATAGCAATTCTGCCACTCCGATTGGATCCACTGTTGGCTCAATGGCTCCAGTAACCAAGTAAGAACTTCTTGCTGCTGTTGAGCTCTGCACCAAGTTCAGATCTTATCTAAGAACATCGTCAATCCGATGCTGGATAAATGCAATAAATGAAACTTCATATTACCCTGCTGCAGAAGCCATAACAAGAAATGCTTCACCCAAAATGTTATGCTCCCCACGGAGCAAAGTTCCTTCTCTTTGCAAATATGCCATTGTATCAGCAATAGACTGTGCAAAAGCATGAAGTTAGAATGAGGGTTAACATGAAATAGTATCACATGAGAACGGCAAATGTGAAACTACACAAGTTAAATTTTGCAGTAAAGATGTCCCAATGGATAAATGGTCATAGTTTACATAATTATCAATAGGCGACCTTCACAATACAAGTTCATCATTTTCTAGCACACAAATAAAGCCATAGTCTACATAATCGTGAATAGGCGAGCTTCACAATATAAGTTAATCAACCAACAAGAGGTATTATGTAGCTTTAATTTGAACAAGATGTCTAGACACCTCTGATTGAAATCATGCAAATGAAAAACCAGCTCAAAAATTTCCCTACACGCGGTCTCTAATACATATCATATATTAGAGCGGACAAGCTTATGAAATCATAGGGTAACTTTCCAGCCTTAAGTTCTGAGTAACTATAGGTGCCTTGTTTTGTATCAAAGTCTCCAAAGGGAAGGACGGAGAGATCAGATTTACCTTCATGTGAGGCAGAACACTTTTATCAGCGGCTTTAGCTATACGTATAAAAGACGTACAAATCTGCAATCTTGCAACTCTTGACGTACTAGTTGCTGGATCCTGCCAAGGAAACAAGCTATAAGAAATCTTTTATACTTCTTAACTGTAGGCACTGTAACTAATAGGATATTATTTGTATATGTATGCATATGCATGGATAATTCCAACACAGAAAATATGTAGAAGGAAACCTTGACAACGTGTGGAAGAGAGGTAAGAAGTTCAAACAATTTGTTAATCACACTTCCAACTGCATCTGGGAAATACTTGAGAAAGGGACCCATAGCATCGAGATAGTGCCCAAGCATTTTTATAAGTTCTGGCTCGGTCCATTTCAAAGAGAGAAGCTGCTGAAGCAAGCCTGCTCGTCAACAACCCGAAATTGCGGTTTAGAAAATGTCAAATTAGATAAATGCTTGAAGGATATAAAATATGATACGACATACCCTCAAATATTCCACGCAATGAAAAATGAACTTCAGAACTACCACCAGCAAACTCATTGGATCCATCAAAAACCGTTGCCACAATACAGTCAAATGCCATTTGCAGGCTGTCCATCACTGCTACATCCTGAAATGCAGGTTTGTAACATAAACACATATAATTACTGAATATCACAGCTATCAAAGTTGCATGTTGTTAAAGAACTCAGCAGACAAAAGCAAGTCTTTGTGAAAAAACCTGAAGAGGCACTGGAGAAGCCAATAGATCCTTAATGAGAGTGATAATCCTTTCAGATATTTTAGTACTGGCAACGAGGGGCTTGTGAGAAGCAATAAACTTGACCAAGTCTAACTGCACCAAAGAAACAAGATTCTGGTTAATTTGTTGTCTGGAAAGTACTATTCAATGCATTTGGCTCGAGAACATACGAGCCTTGATCGGTATTGACCAAAGTCTCCCTTTCCTTCAAACTCATCATTCCAAAGTTCTAGAGGCCCGAGAGAAAGAGCAATTCGAGGAGGAACTTTTTCTTTCTTGAGCATACGCTGGAAAGATACATCCAGGATTGTGCTAGAGATTTCATCACTAATAAGACCTAGTATCTTTTTCTTTTCGTTATCAACTGTGCTTGAACTTTGAACACCACCAACTGCTGGTCCCTCTCCACTTGGATAAGCGGCAGCCTTTGGCTTCGAAAGTAAATCTCTCATTAATGCCTACAAAACAAAACAAAGGAGTACTAATGTCAACCCAAAAATCTATATAATCTCTATGGTTGATTTTTCCAATGGATGGTAGGATGGAAAAAATCGTTATTAGAGAATTTCACATACCAGCCAGAAGAGCATTGCTTCAAAGTGAAGACCCAACTTAAAGTGTTGAAAGAAACCAAGCATCTACAGTAAAAAAGGGGGTCAAACAAACGTTCAAACTAACAAAATAATATAATGCAAAATAAAACAAAGATGCCATAATTCACATAGGACTCAGCTCATTGAGGAACAAGGTTTAGGATAAGATAACAAATCTTTCGAAAAGTTAAGTTCAAAATGAGAAAGAACAGATTTATGTTATCTAAGGACATGCCCGTCATGAACTAAAGTGCAGCTGCATCCTAGCTGAGCATAATAGAGAACTTCAGCCTCATCATTTAATTTTGAAAGTTGAACAATTACACAACGATGTCCGTACCTGTTGAAGGTATAAAGCCAGCACGCCACCATCGGTAGCAATACATTGCAAGTTTGTTGAGCCTAAAGAGACCAAACTTTCACATATACACTCAGCAAACTCATAATCACTTTCATCTATAACCCCAGCACATGAGGCTGATCTGTTTAAGAATTCTCTTGAGACATTCATCAGACTCTGAAACAGACTGCTAATCGCAGAATCGAATTCAGTACCAGAAACATCACTGGGTCTTTTTCTGCAGAAGAGGAACAAAAATTCAAATGTCTAGTAGTCTTAATTTTAGGATATCAGTCAAACAATCATGTTTCATACCTTGAGCAGACAAGTTTGAAAAACTCAGAAGCATGAAGACGGAAGTCAGGAGAAGAAAGTAACGCTCCGCACCTATTACGAATTTGGGGAGCACGTTTAACAAGAAATCTATGCATGTTGATGATATGTATAATATTTTCTGCATGAGTAATCTTACCCGTTAATAATTCCATATCTAGAAAGATCTAAAACAGGAGCCCATTCGGCATATGCATTGATGGCATTTAAACAAGCTATAACCACAGCCGCGTGCTGTTTTGCCAAGTCAACTCGTAACCTACTAGCTTCACTCATTGCAGCTCCAAAGTGTCTCTCGAGAAGCTGCATTTTATGTAATTCATCAATTTACCGCTACAACAAACAATTTAAATGAGTGACAAGATTGTGGCATACATTATATAATAAAGGCAAAATCTCAGGCAAAGACTGAGTAAGCCCCCGCAACAGTAGCCGACGCCTGTCACCTGAAGAGAAAGCCAAAGCAGAAAATTAGAAAGGAAAAAAGGAACTTTCGATGAAATATTAGACACAAGAGGTACTTCCCCAAAAATTTATGTGAAATAAATCATAGGGGAAAATAAAAACTATCGAGATTAAGGTGCTATTTTGTAAAATGTGTAACTTAACTCACAACCGAAAGTGTGCATTTAGATCAAAATAAAGTTTCGAAGGTTGAAAAATGAGAGAACAAATAAAATAATGCCACTCTTATATACCTTCCAAGTCCTCATTGTGAACTGTAATATCTTCAGGAAGCCATCTGAGCATCATTGAGACCACTTCAGCCTGGTGTTTAAGATAATTCGGTAAAACTTTATATGTCTGCCTTAAAGAAATGAACAAATTAAAGAATTGTGAAAGCATTCTACTTGTAACGGGCCCTGTGCCGACAAGGAAGCTAGTGAAGGAAACAACTCCTGCCAAAGATCGTGGCCTTCTCTCCTAACTATCTGTAACACGGAAACATTATTATTCCACACAAATTGAGTAAAATCAAACACTAATGATGGCTGCAGGTGAAAAACGCAAACATATTTGAACTCCTACCTCAGCTACAAGGGCAGCTGACTGACTCTTCAGAGACCATTCCTCACATGGAGTAGCAATCTCTGACATTAGTTCAACAGAGACCTTAGCAAAATCCCTGCGTTCTGAGGGGCTTAATTCCTCCCACCTTAGTCTAACCAAATGCTGCAAAAAGAGAAAGATAGCTAAATCGCAAGGTTGCTATGCTCTTCCTAATATGCTGCACTGAGACATTGCGTAGGGTTCACTCAAAATTCATATATTGATAGGGTAATCTCATTACAGCATATACAACACAAGGTCATATAAGTAAGCATTTCAAGAATGTTGAAGAATCCCATCAAATACTTACACTTGAAAATAGTATGTATTATCTCATTTTATAAGATGATATTTTCAAACTGAAGCTCCCTCCCAACTATTAGGAAACTAACAATTGATTTTAAAATATTGAACTTCAAAGAAAACGGCAGCAAATGACCTTCAAATTAGCATGCACTCTATATCTATCCTTTCGAATTATATCTAAAACTTTCCCAGATTAACTCAGCAACATCAGATAATGAATAATACAATGATATTCCAAAGCACTACCTGTAGCATTTTGAAGGCGTGCAGTCGAATCTCTGAAGAGCACTCCTTTTTCACTAGACATAAGGAAATATGTGCTAGAGTCCTGATATCTCCACACTTGATCTGCAATTATTGTATGAAAACAGAACACAGAGTCAATCAAAATTCAAACATTAAACACCTAATCACATAGGCGAACCTCATGAAAAACGCAACAACAGCAATCAAATCACCAAACCCTAAAAGCAGAAAAAGTAAGGAAAAACCCCTTAATCCAATTCTTTTAGGCAGGATCATTGGTAAAATTAAAGCTTAAAGGAAGCCTCAAGTAGCAGAACCTCTGCATTCCCAGGTAAACCATAGAGCATCGCAACACAAATTCCTCAAAACCGCGAAAGCAAGACAAAGCTACTGATACCTATAACCGGAAACTCCGTATTCACGCGCAAATCGATCATAGGACAGATAGGAGAATAGATTGCAGAAAATCGAAAAGTGAAGTTTATATTTACAGATTCGAGGAAAGCAACGGCGGCTTTGCGAGCATCGGGAGTAGAGTTATAATCGAGAACGGCGATAATCGCTTGGGCCACATTGCTCGCCGTGCTATTGTTGTTGTTGCTAACATCCATAGTTTCCGGCGAAAAAGAGCTTCCTTTTTCTCAGAAAATCGTCTTATTCCTGAATAACACAAAGGAGATTCCTACTCGTCTTCGGCTTCTTCCAAAATCAACAGCTCGAGAGAATCTGGTCTTGGTTTTAATGGGGTTTTATTACTATTAGGGGGCTAGCCGACTAAGAAGAAAAGCTTTCGGCTTTGGGAATTTAATTTAGCGTAGAAAAACAAAAACTTCCGTTTCGAGTTAAAAATGGCCTCAAATAAATTCAAAATCATTACTTATAGTTAAATTTATTATTTTGTATAAAGGAGCTATTTACACATTTTGTTAGAAAAATAAAAAAAACTCACTTTCCTATTTTTTTTTTAAATAAAGCAATTAGATTAGCCTAAAATGTACTATTGTACTAACTATATTCATAACAATTATAAAAGATTCTTTTCTTCATCCAAGAAAACATAAGTTTTGTCTTCGTCCAAAACGGAGAAATACGTAAGAAAACAGATTCTCTACACTAGGGAAAAGTATATATATGTAAATATGACTATATATTATAATTTCCTCATTTCAATTCAAATGTTGTCAACTCTCTTTGTAAATTAAAGGAAGAAAAAAAAAATCGAATCTTCTCCTTTTTCCGATTTTCCCCACTGTCCTCCCAAATGAAGAAGAAATCGTCAAAGTTCAAACAATGGCTCTCTTTCCTTTAACACTCACAACCATCCGTCTACTGTGGCTGCCGCAGCCACCATTCCTCCGCGTCTCAGCCGCTATGTCAGAAACTTCCACCGGCGGTAGAGGGCCAGACCACATCTGGAGAGGCTCATTGGAGTAAGAAGTGAATGAGGTTGAGCTAAAAGGTATCTCAGACGGTTCGAATCGCCGAGATAAACCCATCGGGAAACCGAGCAAACCATCTTGGTGTGGAGGAGGGAACTTGTCGCTCTTGCTCTTTGCATTTGCGTGCGTGATCAAACGCATCCTCTGTGAAAATGAAAAGATAAGAAGATATGTTTGAAGAAGTAAAAAGATTTTCATTTTTGTCTTACGTCAATGTTAGATTGAATCTCAGCATTAGCCTCAGGAACCGGCATTGCTCTAGGAGCTCGTTCTCGTGTTCTCGTTCTTCTCCCACTCTCGCCTTGTGCTTTACGTTTCTCTCTTTGTCTGCAGAGAGAAGTATATTTTCACCAAGAACTAACTCAATACCATTTATCCCTCAGATGCTCAAGAAAGATCTGAAACAGAAAAGCAAATACCTTCGATACTCTTCGTCTCTTCTCTTGGCATCAATCTCTTTAGTTGGAGGATACTTTGGGAGATCAAAAGGTTGACATGGCAGAGGCTCCGTTGTGAAGAACTGTTACAGCAAACATTAGATCATCAGTTTGATTAGTTATTCAATCTTTATTTGAAACGTATGTCCAGAGATTGTGTACTTACATCACTCATCAGTGCAGATGTGGCAGTCTTACGCTCAGCAGGATCAAGTGCAAGAACAGTATCGATAAGAGAAAGTGCCTCGGGAGAGAAATCTTTATAAACCTCTCTTATGCGCCTTTGATATTGCGGTAAGGGCCTGTGTTGAGCATGCTTATGACTAGAAGGTAACTTTATTTTCCTCCAATATTCTTCAGAAGGCGAACCACATAGTTTATAGATCCTATGCAGTTGTTCTACCTATTTTAAAACATATTATTCCATGAGAAAAAAATTTGAACTTTTTCTCAAATTGAAATGAAAAAAAAATCAGATTCAGTCAAAAGCTTAACCTCGGTTCGACCTGGCATGATCGGTCTACCAGTAAGTAACTCGCATAAAATGCAACCGGCGCTCCATAAATCAACACCAACACCATACTCAACCACACCGTGAAGTAGCTCTGGTGCTCTATACCATAGTGTAACCACACGGTTTGTCATATGTTGTCTCCTTTTTGGATCAAAGAACGTAGCCAGACCAAAATCACCGATTTTGAGAACTCCTTCATCGGTTATAAGAAGGTTTGATCCTTTAATATCACGGTGAAGCACACCTCGGCTGTGACAATGCTCGAGCCCCGAGAGCAGTTGTTTCATATAGCATTTAACCTGAAACTCAAGAGTCAACAACATTTTTGTGGGCAAGTTGCTGATACAAAACCAAATCTTAAAAACTAACCTGTTGCTCGGTGAACTCTATATCAGGGCTTGCGACAAGACCAGCAAGATCGTGGTGCATATAACGGAACACCAAATATAAGCTACTTGACATTCTCGAAGTCACAAGACCTTCCAATTTGATGACGTTGGGATGATCCAATCTCCTCAGTATCAGAATCTCTCTCGCCATAAACCTCAAGCTCTCTCGTTCCGTTACATCGCACCGCACTTTCTTTAACGCCACGATGTTCCCTGTCAACAAGTCTTTCGCTTTGTACACATTGCTATACGTTCCTGATCCAATCTACACCAACATTCATCAAACACACACACAAATTCAATATAATCAAACAACCTCGGATGAAAGATAAAAAAAAAAGAGATCTCACTTTCTCAATCTTCTCAAAAGAATCGGCCTTTCGTGGAAGCCAACCATTGAGAGCTTCTCCACAGATTTCAGATAACCAAGATGGCCAACCTGCAGCGACCTGCTCACCAATCAAATGCTTCGGCGGGTTGCTCCGTCTCGGGTCAGCCTTATTAGACCTTTTACTTTCCTCTTTTGGCTTTTCATTCTTCTTCTCCTTGACTTCAACTGCTGCAGCAACAGGAACAACAATACTATTAATGGTCTCTGGTTCGATTCTGGTAGACGTCGTCACGGACACGGCCTCCTTGGTTTCTTTTCGGAAGCTGATTTGGTGTCTAGACCCAGAAACTGAGTCCGGTACTGAAACGGGTCGACCCAATACACAACCCATTTCACGAAACTAAACCTCATTTGCTCAACATGTTCGCTTAACTGGCTTATACACAAAACAAGACCCGTAAATGGAAATTCAACAGCTTGACAATATAAATTATCTCTGGGAAACAAAGGAATTCAGCTCAAAACCCAGATTTCGAAAAAAGGTTTGTTCGTATCTGACCAAACAAGTGAAGAAGGGTGAAATGGGTAAAAGAAATTTACGCACTTTATGATGGAGGAGAAGCAGAATTCGCGACCCAGATGATCAATTCTGGAACTTGAGTGATTTGAAATGTTCAGTGAGAGATAAAGAGAAGAGGAAAATGTGAATCAGAAGTTATTTTGTTTAAAATAAAGAAACGTTTAAATCAAAATCAATAACGGCTTTAGGGAAAGGGAATTGTGATTGATACAACACGCAAAAAGACATAAGAGTCAACAGACCAAAACACAAACCTCCCATTGATTAAGGGGAAAGAAACCAACTTTCCTAAAACAAATTAAAGAAAAGATTTACTTACACAAAAGGAAGAGAGTATTCCGTTGAATTACTTGAAGGCTTCTTTTTTATTCTAACACAATTTTTTTGTTTTGTGTTTTTCTGATTTCTTGCTTAAGACAATAAAACGAATAACTAGAAACAGCTGAATATATGTTTGTTTCCATCACTCAATGAAATCACAAAACTAATACAATAAACATTTATCGAGATAGAAAGAATGTGTTAGTAATCTACAAGGATCTAGTTGGACAAACAATAAATACTTTTCATCTCTTCATTACTGTAAAATACAGTACTTGGTCGAGAGGGAGTTTATTTTCCATCTCTCCAATCAAAGAAGCGCAATTATTAAGACTGCAGTGTTGACCAAACAGGGGACAAAAGCTAAGAAATCAGTGAATACATTCTGTCTTTTGAAAAATGTCGACAGCGAAAATCAACAATAGAAAAATACAAAAGCGTAATCAAACAAGTAAAGAACTAAGTTGGGCTTTTTAACGGGCCTATATGTGCTGGATCAAGAACCTCTGTTTTCAACTTTAGTTAATTCCAAAATGTAAATCATCTAACATCGTCGTTACATATCCTAACATGATTCTAATCTTCGTTGAGAACTTTTCCAATGTGGATCATGTATGTAATCGTCTTCTTCGTTGATCGGTTGATGCTGTCGAGACAGAATCCGTTACTAAGACCAAACGCCATCGCCGGCGCCTTTTGGGCCTGCTTAAAGCCTTAAACTCAGCCCAGTAAGTGAAATCTTGTCGGAATGCAACAGGATGAAGTTGAGATTATTCTCTTACGAAAGATGGAATCTTTATAACCCAAATTTAACAACCGTGAAATGGAATCTTTGAAGTTGTTGTCTTTACTGCGAGAATGCACCAATGCCACCAAGTCTCTGAGACAAGCCAAGCTTCTTCACCAGAGAATATTCGCGGTGGGGCTGCAGAGCGACGTCGTTCTCTGCAAAAGTCTCATCAATGTCTACTTCGCTTGTAAGGACCCTTGCTCGGCGAGGCTCGTCTTCGAGAACGTCGATGCCCAATCCGATGTCTACATCTGGAACTCCCTCTTGTCCGGTTACGCAAAGAACTCCATGTTCCATGAAGCTCTTGAGGTTTTCAGGAAACTGCTGAATTGCTCAATTTGCGTCACTGATTCTTACACATACCCAACTGTGATTAAGGCCTATGGTGCGCTGGGTAGAGAGTTTCATGGTAGAATGATTCATACCCTTCTGTTGAAGAGTGGGCATGTCTCCGATGTGGTCGTTGCGAGCTCTTTGGTCGGCATGTACGCAAAGTTTAACTTGTTCGAAAATTCAGTACAAGTGTTCGACGAAATGCCTGAGAGAGATGTTGCCTCTTGGAACACGGCTATATCCGGTTTTAATCAGAGCGGGGAGGCAGAGAAGGCTCTGGAGTTGTTCGGAAGAATGGTAAGCTCTGGATTTGAACCAAATTCGGTGTCTTTGACGGTAGCCATATCAGCGTGCTCGAGGTTGTTGTATTTGGAGAGAGGGAAGGAGATCCACAGAAAATATGTGAGGAAAAGGTTCGAGTTAGATGAGTATGTAAACTCTGCCCTTGTAGATATGTATGGAAAATGTGGCTGCTTGGTGATGGCTAGAGAGGTTTTTCAGAAGATGCCTAGAAAGAGTTTGGTGGCTTGGAACTCTATGATCAGAGGTTATGTCGCTATAGGAGATAGTAAGTCATGCGTTGAGCTTTTGAATAGAATGATCATAGAAGGAACTCGACCGAGTCAAACAACCTTGACCAGCATTTTGATGGCTTGCTCTCGGTCATCGAATATCCAACATGGAAAATTCGTACACGGCTATGTGATTAGGAGCATTGCCGATGCAGATACCTATTTGAACTGTTCCCTGATTGATCTTTACTTCAAGTGCGGTGAGGTAAAGTTGGCTGAAACCGTCTTTGCAAAGGCACCGAAGACCAGCGTCGAGTCATGGAATGTTGTGATCTCTGGTTATGTCAGTGTAGGTAATTGGTTTAAAGCTGTTGAAGTGTATGACCAGATGGTGAGTGTTGAAGTGAAGCCAGACGTAGTAACATTCACAAGTGTTTTACCTGCTTGTTCGCAACTGGCTGCGTTAGAGAAAGGCAAGCGGATTCATTTGTCCATTAGTGAGAGTAGGCTCGAGACAGACGAGTTGCTGATGGGTGCACTTCTTGACATGTATTCTAAATGCGGCGATGTGAAAAAGGCTTCTAGAATTTTCAAAAGTATACCAAAGAAAGATGTTGTGTCATGGACAGTGATGATCTCTGCGTATGGATCTCATGGTCAACCCAAAGAAGCACTTTACCATTTTGATGAAATGGAGAAGCTTGGTGTAAAACCTGACGGTGTTACTTTTCTTGCTGTATTGTCAGCTTGTGGTCATGCTGGGTTTATTGATGAAGGAGTCAAGTTTTTCAGTCAAATGAGATCCAAGTACGGAATCAAGCCTAGTATTGAACACTACTCGTGCTTGATTGACATTCTCGGCCGAGCAGGTCGGTTGCTTGAAGCTTACGACATCCTTCAACAGAAACCTGAGACAAGAGACAATGCAGAGCTTCTCAGAACTCTCTTCTCTGCCTGTTGCTTGCACCGGGATCATTCATTGGGAGATAGAATCGCAAGATCTCTTGTGGAGAAATATCCAGATGATGCGTCAACCTACGCTGTCTTTTACAATTTGTATGCTTTTAGTGAGTCATGGGATGCAGCGAGGCGAGTCAGATTGAAGATGAAAGAAGTGGGACTAAGGAAGAAACCTGGCTGCAGTTGGATTGAGATTAACGAACAAGTGTGCCCCTTCTTTGCTGAAGACATGTGTTATCCACATGCTGAGAACGTTTATGAATGTCTTACCCTTTTAAGTGGTCACATGGAAGCTGGTCAATGATTCTTATGTTGTTGCATATGTCCCAAGAAGACAGCATATCATGGAGCCTTGATACTTGTCCAGGATCAATCTGTAAGCAATGAGGACAGAGAGTGACATTCATCTCAATTTCAAATTTCTCTTCTCCTAATTATTTTGACTAACAAGAAACTGTGTTCCTAACAACTTTTAAATGTAAAGAGCAATGTGAACTAAAAAATTTCATAAATTCCACGGAGTTTCAAATTTTGCGTCTCCATCAGCACGGAAGACTAAAGGAACTTGGATAATGGCAAGACGCTCGGCGAGGAAAAAAAGGCACCAACTTTTGTCTTTGAACGGACCTACCATGAACCTGATTCTCTCCAATCATTTTCCTTTTATTTTTAATTGTTTTGAATCCACTCACTATTTTGTTGGAAGAGGAAACAAAGAGTGAGGGAGAGAGAGAGAGAGAGAGAAAGAGAGTGGAAGAAGTTTCATCTCTGAAATCAAGATCATCATCATTCATCACCAGACACAAGGGTTTTCAATCATTTGACAACGCCTTCCACTACTTTCAAACCCATACCCTTTTTCTCCAAAGAAACCAAAACTTGTCTTTCACTTGCTCGATCTTATGTCTCTGAGAATTCATCGAGTATCTTTAAATTTCTAGCTTTAAGCCCATACATATATGTTCGAACCCGGTTCTGTCTCTCTGGTTAATGCTTCGCGAGGTTGAGATTCTTCAAAGTTCGGATTTTTATCACTTTCTTCTGTATTAGTACTTTGCTTCATCTTCACTTTTCCCCTTCCTCTTTTTCTTTTTCCTAGGGGTTTTTCTTGTTTCTGACAAATAAAACCTTTTCTTTTCTCTCTGCTGGGAACTTACAATAATCAATTATCTGTCCTGAGTTTTATGACAACTCAAGTTGTCTTCTTGTTCAGAGTTCTGTAATTAAATCCCTTATAATAATGATAAGTTTAGTGTTCTTTTCTCCCTGTTCCTAACTACCGTTCTACATTGCTTTCATTGAGTTGTCGTCGTCTCCATTCCACTCCCACTTCCTCTTTGTTTAATTTTTGTCTTCTGTCAGAAATTGGATCTCGCTCAGGTCAGCTAAGAAAAAAAATGTTAATTTCAGCTGAAAAAGAAGAGATCTTGATCTCTCAATCTCCAGTTAGCTCAATGTCAGTTCCTGAATCTATTGAATCGCCACAACCTGTCCCTTTGGTCTACACCGATGTAAATGTTGTTCCGGAGCATGAAAGAAATGAACTTGAGAAGTCAATATCAAGCCTCGAAGGTATCTCTCCATATGCTTCTCCTCTATTTCCTTAACGCCGTATAGTATATGCTTTCTATCTGATCATGTTTAACAATCGAGCTCGAGTTTAATTTGATCTGGGTTGGTATTTTCAGGGGAAGTTTTGGCATTGAAGTTGAAGCTCAAGTCATTGGATGCAAAAAGAAAGGAAGTTCTGAATAAGATTATAGACACTAAAGGTTGTAACCTCACAATGTTAAAACCTAGTTTTGAAACTCCCTTTTTGGGTTATCTTAAGGATTGGCTTCAATTTGCAGGAAGTATACGTGTGTTCTGTAGAGTTAGGCCTTTTCTACTGACCGAAAGAAGACCGATTAGAGAACCTGTTTCGTTTGGACCAGACAATGTCGTTGTTAGATCTGGTGGAGCTCGAAAGGAATTTGAGTTTGATAAAGTTTTCCATCAATCAGCAACTCAAGGTTAGTCTCCTGTTAGGCTTTAGTGGTTCCACTCTTTTTGGTTTCTTAGCTTTCTGTTTCCTTCCAGTTGTGAGTAAATGAGGCCTTCTCCTGGTTGAAAAAAAAATAAACTCTGTAGAAGACGTTTTCGGAGAAGTAAAACCGATTCTTAGATCTGCCCTTGATGGTCACAATGTATGTGTTTTGGCATATGGTCAAACCGGGACAGGAAAGACTTTCACCATGGTTAGTCATTCTTGATACTAAGATTCTATAATTCAAAGAGTTGTTATCTAAGCTAAGGAAGAGCTTTGTCTTTGCCTTGTTTAGGATGGCACAAACGAGCAACCAGGTCTTGCTCCTAGAGCTATTGAAGAGCTTTTCAATGAAGCTTCAATGGATCATACACATTCTGTGACTTTTACGATGAGTATGTTGGAAATCTACATGGGTAACCTGAAAGATCTCTTGTCTGCAAGACAGCCTTTGAGGTCAAATGAAGCCTCAACTAAATGGTAAATAAGCAGCTTTTGTATCCAAAGTTTTTATATATCCTCAAAAAACACAAACATTCTTCTAAGTACTTCCTCTTGTCTGTCTCAACTTTACTGCAGCAACCTCAATATTCAAGTAGACTCAAAGGGTTGTGTAGAAATTGAGGGTTTGACTGAAGTGGAAGTACATGATTTTACAAAGGCTAGATGGTGGTACAACAAAGGAAGACGAGTCAGATCTACTTCTTGGACAAATGTGAATGAAGCTTCGAGCAGATCTCATTGGTAGGTTCTTGATGGTTTCAAATTTCAACTACATTCGTCAATTATTTCAGTTTGGTAGTTACCCTCATTCAATTAGTTTATCTCTAGTTTAACAAGGATTACGATCTTTCGTCGTGGGGATGCTGTGGGCTCAAAAACTGAAGTTAGCAAGCTTTGGATGATAGATCTCGGAGGAAGCGAGAGGCTCTTGAAAACCGGGGCAATAGGGCAAACTCTGGATGAAGGAAGGTACATAAACCTCTCACTTTCCGCTCTTGGGGACGTGATTGCAGCTTTAAGAAGAAAGAAGGGACATGTGCCTTACAGGCAAGCTCTCAGCTTTTAATTACTTTTCACATACATATGCCTTTGAAGCAGAGACATCTATCTGGCAGAAGTGAGATAGAGATCTCGCTTTGGTCATGCTACTGAATTTAACTTTTTTCTTTTTCGTGGTTGCAGAAACAGCAAGCTAACTCAAATCCTTAAAGATTCTCTAGGTAAAGGCATATGGTTGCTTATAATAATAACTTACAAGTCCTTTGAGATTAACATATACTGACGTCATTTAAGTTTGATTGCTTTCATTAACTTTGTTAGGTACTAGATCGAAGGTTCTGATGCTTGTGCACATAAGTCCACGTGATGAAGATGCCGGTGAAACAATTTGCTCTCTTAGTTTTACAAAACGTGCGAGAGCCGTAGAGTCTAACAGAGGATTAACAGAAGTAAGAACATGTACAGCAGTATTTGCATTTATATAGATCTCACTGATTGCTGAATGTTCTCATCGTCATTGCTTAGGAACTTCGAAAGCTAAGAGAAAAGAAAATATCGGAACTTGATGAAGAAATGCGAGACACTCAAGAAACTTACAAGAAGATCGGAGGGCGTTTACAGGAAGCTGAGTGCTTGCTTAGTGAAAACAAGAAACTCTTGAGGGCCACTGATGATAGTTATCAAGAAGACATGGAAAAGAAAGTTCTTTCGCCTTTAGATCATCTGAAAGAGACCGATGCAACCCCAAAATCATCTGATAAACATGTCAGAATAAGCAAGAGTTCTGGGTTTGTCCCACGTTTCATGACTGCAACTGTCGCTAGTCGCCTGAGACAAACAATGTCAGAGAAGGAAATCAATGCAAAGCGTCAGAGCGTACGATCAGTGGCTAAAACTCTTACTCAGCTCTCCACTTCTGAGTCTCTTAGCCTCTCTGACTCACGTAGCAGAGGTCTCCTTCGAAGATCATACACGAAGCCGCTTCAAGCTGCAGCTAACAGTGAAACACCAGAAACGCCTAAAAGAAGGGATATCAAAGATGCTTCTTTACAGAAAAAGAATATCAATGATACTTCTTTGCCAAGGAGCAAAATGGTTACTTCGTCAGATCCAAACGTGAGAGCTAAGCTGTGTCACCACAGAAGAAGAATGTCAAGCTTGACATGATCTAACAGTGATCAAACAAGAAAACAGGTCTTTCTTCTTTCTTTTATATGTCTCGGCGGAGTTTTGGTTTGAGACCCGAGTAGGTTGCGATTTTGGGACCATTTGCACTTGTGGATGTTGCAGTTCTGGTTTTAAAAGGACACAGCCCTCAAGTTACTTTTTCTTTTCTTACATCTGAGAGCTTGCCTATATATATTTTGTTTGTGACTGTTCCTAAAATCTTTTTTTGGTTTGGTGTTAGCTTTGATGTTGTTGGATGTTCACAGAATCTGGATCGTAATTAATATTCCAGATTCTATCTTCTTTGAGGGTTTCAAAGAGAGAAGTGTGAAACTGTTTTAGAGGGTTTTGATTTGTAATCATTTGAAGTTCCTAATGACACACAATATTGTTGTGGATGTGACACAATATCTTATTCTTTCTGTAACAAGTCTTTATTTATATACTATTTGGATAATTGTATTTCTTTTACTCTCTTTGATTCTCGTTTTTGGTTTCGCTCTTTTTTTTAAAGACAACATTAACAGAATTTTGTGCAAGTCGAAGATTTGTTTGTTGTTAAACGAAAAACATTTGTTAATTGTCTTGACAAGAAAAAACATTTGTTATTGATTAATTTACTTTGTTAATATGAAACCGCGTGGTTTCACTCAACCGGTCCAGCTTTCATGTTACTTTTAAATCGATCAGCCTAATAAAACCCGGTCTGAGCCGGTTTATTTCCAATCGTCCCAATTTTATGAGCTCAAGAGATTTGTGCATTAATGGCGATTCTATCGTCGTCGTCTTCTTCTTCATCATCAGCCTCGGCGATGCAGAAAGGAATTGTTGTTACTTTACCAGTTCTGGTTCTAACTGCGGCGTTCTCGGCGGTTATCTTCTTCATCCTAACGTCTTTTCTGTCTTCCTCCTGCTCATGTCCGCCATCTATACCTTCCCTTAACGACGACGCTGGTGTCGCTGCTGTCGGTGGCGGTGATGTGAGGTCGGAGGAGAGGATTTCAACGTCGCAAGAGGATATAGATTGGGTTAAAGATCTGATTAGATCGAACGGTTTGCATATGCAGGACAATGTGCTCCGGAAAGGGATCAATCCTCGCACAAGGGAACAGCAACTCCAAGATCTGATACAGTAACCATATCCACTCTCTCTCGTTTCGTTTTGATTCAGAATCTATGCAGAAACCAAAAATCTCAAGTTACTCAGGAGCTTTGAGATTTTGATGCTTGCTTGCTTCGTTAAGCTCAATTATTGCATTATATGGTAGAAAATTTTCTAGTGAGAGCAAGAGGATCAGAGTGTAGAGCTTGTAATTCACTTTTCGTTCGTTGTTGGTGTGAAATCAATTATATATACATGTTATAGTGCTTATCCACCAAGAGATCCTAACAAGCAAATCAAATCTGGAGAGATATACACATTGAGGATTATTATTAATGGTAACAACCATATTGTGTGTAGAAATTTGGTTTGGTCATAATCTATTGTGTTATGTTCTGTAGATTCTTTCATGAAAGTGCAGGCTTTTTGCTGATGAAGAAGAAAATATTTTAGGAACACAATCTTTGGATCATTACTCCCATTGCTCTGCTTTGCCATTTGTGGATTTGCGCTTTCTGTATTGGCATTACCTTTTCTGAATTATACACACTGTTTGGGATTCAGGTACAAAGGTATTTCGCACTACGAAGGAGATGAAGCAACAAACCACACAGCTCTTCCATGCCCTGGCGAGTTACTTGTTGAGGAGCATCACAGCAACTACGGTGAACCCTGGGCTGGTGGGCGTGACGTGTTTGAGTTCTTAGCTGAAGCAGCCCACCTCAAGCCCAATGCTAGAGTCCTTGAAATAGGCTGTGGCACGCTCCGTGTTGGGTTGCATTTCATACGCTATCTCAACCCTGGGAATTTCCACTGCCTTGAAAAGGATGAGCTTTCTCTAATGGCTGCTTTAAGGTACGAGCTTCCTTCTCAGGGTCTCTTACATAAACGGCCTCTTATAGTCAGAGGCGAAGATATGGAGTTCAGCAAGTTTGGCTCGGATGTGGTATATGATCTGATATACGCTAGTGCAGTCTTTCTACATATGCCTGGTGAACTCGTTTGGACTGGACTTGAAAGGCTAGTAGATAAGTTGAAGCCTTACAAAGGGAGGATCTTTGTGTCGCATAACATGAAGTTTTGTACGCGTTTAGGAGGAGACAAATGCACAGAGAGACTAGCAAGCTTAGGACTGGAGTCCCTCGGGAGACAAACACATGACAGTTTGCTGTTTAACCACTACGAGATCTGGTTCGGGTTCAGGCGGATCAAAGGATAATCGTGTTGTTTGTTCAGAGAGTTTTGCAGATAGTTGAGTGGTATGATGATATGGAGTTACGAGTCTCTGGACCAAGAGAATCTCACAAAGCAGTTAAATACACAAATGGTGATCATGTATGTATTAATATACATTAGTCAAATGGTTCGAGATGGCTATATTTGTTTGATTTAAAGAGTTGTATTGTTGTGTTTTGTAGTTCTGTTTGTAATTTAAATACTTTATCATTAATTTACACTACTTTTATATTAAGAAAAATGTTGCATTTATGTAGCTGTTTCGGTCTCAATCTCTCAAATCTCTCTCAATAAACGTTGGTTTAAACACTTACAATCAAACGTGACATGCGCGTGAGTAAGATACACAGCTCGAATCTGACTCATTTTGTGCTGAAAGATTTTTTTTTGGTGAAGGTACTTCATTGCATGTAAATGTAAATATAAATGTAAACAAAGACAATCAAACACAGCTTTGGTTTGCAACATATGCAATCACACAAATACAATTGGTATTATCAGGTAAGTTATTGTGCTGAAAGATTTTACTTTCGATTTCTATTTCTTCATTCGTTCCTAGTTTATCTCAAAATATTTTCCAATTCCAAAATATTCGTTATCTCAGAATTATACTAAATTAAAATCAAAATTTATGCTAAAAAAATAAATTGAATACCACAAAGAGAGAGGTTTCAAACCGGCTATTGTATGTGCCAATACTTTTGGAGTATGTGCTTATACTCAGTTGCAAAAGATTAGCAAAAGACATCCCGTGTTATGGAAGGTTTCTAATACTTTTTTCTGTTGGTTTCTGGCTAACTATGTAAACATTTGATCTTTGCAGCCCCACAAAAAATGACAAGATCAAAGATGTTTTTGATGGAATTCAAACATTTCATACACATTTCGTTCAGAATGATCTATTTTTTTTAATTTATTAAATTTATTTAAGTTAATATACTAAATTAATTACCAAACATTATTTTTAATCTAGATTTATCCATCTATGTTATTAAATATGTTAACAAATATTTCAGTTTTTGATTTTTTATCTTTTTTATTCTCATAAAATCTTCATAAAGTTGATATTCAATTTTTATTATTCTAAAATAATTATTTTAATTTTTTTTTAATTAATTATTGTTTTTACATCAAGAAAAAAACTTTTTGTATTCTCAAACTAAATAAATTTTGAAGTTATTATTTTTTTATGTTTTATACCCAAAAAGCTATCAATGTTTTATACCAAAAAAACTATCAATATATATCAAATTTTAATTTGTATAAATATATTTTGTCCAAAAAATAATAAACACTAAAATATATAAAAATTATATTTGACTTCATATATTTTATTTCTCATTAATATTTTTAACAATAGTAAATTTAATTAAATCATTCGAAAAAGCTATATTTTATTTATTTGTTTGTTTCAAATAGCTGTATTGTTGTATTTTGTAATTCTGTTTGTAATTTAAAATACTTTATCATTAATTTGCAGGACATTTCTATTAAGAAAAATGTTGCATTTGTGTAGCTGTTTCGGTCTCAATCCTCAATTCTCTCTCAATAAGCGTTGGTTAAAAACTTACACAATTAATTTCATAAAGCCATTTTGAGGCACGTGACATGCGCGTGCGTAAGATACACAGCTCGAATCTGACTCGTTTTGTGCTGAAAGATCTTACCTTCAATTTCCATTCGTCTCGATCGGAGCTCCGTGTACGATCTCGGTGCTCGATTTCCCGATTCAGTTGTTTTTCCTGGTAACATCGGAGTGGCGCGAAAACCCTCTCATCGGAGTTGCTTTCTCCCAAAAATATCGAGAGGTTCAAAGTAACGAGAAAATGGCTTTGGTAGCGGCCTTAGAGGCGGATCTTCGCGCTCTTTCCGCGGAGGCGCGGCGGAGGTATCCCGCCGTGAAAGATGGAGCAGAGCACGCAATCTTAAAGGTTAGGTTTTCCCAGAGTAATGTACATGTCTGCTGTTCGAGCTTGAATTCACTGTGAATTTGGTTTCTGTTTTAGTTAATTTTCACTATGTTTTCAACTGACACTCTAAGATTGAATGTTCTTCCGATTGATCATGTGAAGAGTGGCTTATTAGGCATACTTCTCTATGTTGATAGAGAAAAATTATCGCTTTGGAATACCCAGACTTAATGGACATTTTGAGTTTGGACCCTCTTTTTTCCTCCAAATCTAAGAATTGTTGAACTGAAGGAGCAATAATGCCTTGCTTACGAATGAATTGATAACTATCTCTGTTTTCTGCAACTTGGGTTTAACAGTTAGAATGTCAGTGAATTGAATTGTAAGGCACTTTATTTATATTTTGTTTTTGCCTTTTCAGCTTCGTTCGTCATCGAGTGCAAGTGATCTTTCAAGCAATGATGATATTCTTCGGATCTTTCTGATGGCCTGTGGAGTCAGGAATACAAAACTTAGCGTTATAGGACTCTCGTGCTTACAGAAGCTTATATCTCATGATGCAGTTGAACCTTCATCTCTTAAGGAGATACTACATACCTTGAAAGATGTAAGTGAGAGTTTCTGCCTTGGTTTTTTTTTATGGAAATGGCGAAATAGATTTACATTTACTTGATGATTTTTTTATTGGAAAACGCTACCTAACGCGGTGTTTCCTTACTCGCAGCATTCAGAAATGGCAGAAGAAATTATCCAACTAAAGACTCTACAAACCATTCTAATCATATTTCAATCTCGCCTACATCCAGAAACCGAGGTGAATACGCAAGCTTGGTCTAGTAAGATTTGTAGGCTAACCCGGTCATTGACGTAAACAAAAGTTAAATGGTTTCACTAATATGATAAAAGAATGCAGATATAAAATTAATTGTTCTTCAGAGATCTGCTTCCTTATGGCTTTGCTGTTCTGAGGCTTTAGCTTCTTTCTTAATTCCAGGATACTATGGTTCTGGGACTAAGTATTTGTCTCAGGCTTCTTGATAACAACCGACTACCTAGTGTTTACAAGTAAGTTGTTTTCATACAAACCTTACCTCATCATTCCTATGGTAATTTTACTTTAAACTTTTTTCTTACTTTGTCAGAATCAAAAACCATGGTTTTGTTTTGCTGGGTCTTCCAGTACTGCTGCAGCTACCTTCAGGCAAGCAGTGGCATTAATTTTTGATCAAGTGGTCTCAGCTGAGTCCCTTCCTATGCCTAAATTTGGGTCTAGCAGTCAAACAGCAAGGACTGGCTCAGTTACCGGAGATCTGAGTCAGAATATCAATAATTCAGAGTATGCCAGTCCTGATCACTTCTGTCTGACTTCTCTTGTAACTCATTTTACGTTCTGCCTATATATATACTGTGATTTTGAGGACTTTTGATTATTGTTATTCACAGTTGGTGATGCATTCATTATATTTGGTTGATTTGTGTTTGATAAAATGAAAGGCATAGACTCTCCATTTTGAATTAGTGATCTACCAATTGGAACCTTTGGCATTTGGCCTTACAGTTATTTAATAGACTAACAGATATATGAAAGCAGGCCCTTGGAGAAAGATGTTATATCTGGTCGATTGACAATGAGAGACACCCTGAGTGAAACCGGTAAACTTGGTCTGCGGTTGCTTGAGGACCTGACAGCCTCAGCTGCAGGTGGATCTGTATGTGTTTATTCAACTATATTGGTTCTGGTTTTGTATCTCTTCTCCAACTAAGTGTCGTTAAAGTTTATTTGACCGAGGTTAATTGTTATATGCTTTTACAGGCAGCGTGGTTGCATGTTACTTCTCTTCCAAGGACCTTCTCCCTCGAACTAATTGAGTGAGTTGGCAAGGCTGTTTTTTCAATGTAGTTGCTCATGTTGAAATGGACTGAAAAACATGTTTTAAATATACGAGTTCTCAACTTACTTTGCAGGTTTGTTTTGTCGAACTATATCTCAGTTTTTAAGATACTACTTCCCTACGAACAGGTAATGCTAGGCTTTTACCAGATGGGCCCTTTTTCTCATCCTTCCATTAGCATGATGACCGAACTGTATAAGTTTACCTGTTTTTTCATCAGGTTTTGCGTCACCAAATCTGTTCCCTTCTGATGACATCACTTCGGACCAGCTCAGAGGTAATATCATGCCTCACTGCCTTCTGTATGTTTGTATACTTCCACGTGATCTGGAATAAAATTCGGATTATCATCAAAGCATATCTACGTGCATTTACTCATGGAATTAAGTTTTGTCCTGCTCAGCTTGAGGGAGAAATGGTTGAACCTTATTTTCGCCGGTTGGTGCTACGGTCAGTTGCTCATATTATTCGACTGTATAGTTCGTCTCTCATTACAGAATGCGAGGTACAGTATGCACAACTTTACTTGTTTCTTGTAAGCTTTTGTGCTATTGACCGCGAATGAACAAGCACATAAACATGTTTTCCTGTTGGCTATGATATTTGCAAGTTTTCTTAATTGATGGGCGTCCATTTCATTTCTGCCTGTGCAGGTGTTCCTAAGTATGCTCGTGAAAGCTACATTTTTAGATTTGCCATTGTGGCATCGCATTCTTGTTCTTGAGATATTGAGGGTATTACATTCCATTGTTAATACCACGTGTATATACGACAGTATAGGACTTTGTGCTCAATTTTCATTTCTAAGATCACTTGTGTATGTGCATTAAATAGGGGTTCTGTGTTGAGGCAAGAACATTACGGATTCTTTTCCAGAACTTTGATATGTAAGGCTACTTACTTCTATTGTGTTCTTGTGATTGCAAATTAAGGAATATAATATCCCTACTTGTTGTTTCTTCATACCATGCAGTTGAATAATTTTTTTTTCTGGATCATGATCCTTCTGTGATCTAATAGTAATTTTTTCTTTCAAGGCATCCTAAAAATACAAATGTTGTGGAGAGCATGGTCAAAGCACTTGCTCGAGTTGTTTCTAGCATACAGGTGGGTTTGTAGGGCAGGTCGCCTGTAATGTTTTCTGTACTCTCGATTTGCTTGAGTTCTCGTAGTAGCTATGTTTATTTGTTTACTGGTTGGTTTTAGATGTACATTTAATTTTTACTTGTTTTGAAAGATTTTTTGGAGCAACTTCAGGAACTAGAAAGTGCCTTATCTAGCTTAAAAATCGACATCTCATAACAGGAGTAAGAACTTGGAACATGGCTTAATTCTCTAGTTGGTTTTCTTGAAAGTAGTTTCAGGAGACGAGTGAGGAAAGTCTAGCAGCTGTTGCTGGCATGTTTAGTAGCAAAGCTAAAGGTAATCAATTATTTTGTTGCTATGATGATTATTTATTACCTCTAAGGCTTCAGAATTCAGTTATTTTTTATTTTATTCTAAGAGTTATTGTCATATTAAAACTTTCCCCACTGCTGTAGGAATTGAATGGATTCTCGATAATGATGCTTCCAGTGCGGCTGTTCTCGTTGCGAGTGAAGCTCATGCAATAACTTTGGCAATTGAAGGCTTACTTGGAGTTGTTTTTACAGTCGCCACTTTAACAGATGAAGCAGTAGACGTTGGGGAGGTAATTTATGCAGGGTTCTTCTCCGCTATGCCATATTAATGTTTGGCTAACATACTTTTCTTTCTACTCTTTGCCTGCTGGTCTCTTGTTTTTCATACTTTCCTTTCTTCAAACCACCAGCTTGAATCCCCCAGATACGAGCATCATCCTTCGTCTGATTATACTGGGAAAACCTCACATCTCTGTATCTCAATGGTAGATTCATTGTGGCTGACTATACTCGACGCATTTTCCCTTATTTTATCAAGGTATTACAGCCCTTTTGTCAGACTATCCGTTGATTGTGAGGTGGCGAACACTGGGACTTTGTTTAATCTAATTTTTCTTGAAGGTCACAAGGAGAGGCAATCGTATTGGAGATACTGAAAGGATATCAAGCATTTACTCAGGTAAACGCAAGTCAGATTCAAAGTTTTCATACGGGATGTGGCTACTAATTGGCGACGTGTGGAAATAACGTCTTTGCTTTTACACTTTTTACATTGACAATTAAACTTATGTTCTCTACCTATCCAGAAAAATTGATGAGTATCCTTATAATTCTTTCTTAGGCATGTGGCGTTCTTCACGCTGTAGAACCGTTGAACTCTTTTCTTGCATCGCTTTGTAAATTTACCATCGTTTTGCCAACTGACGTGGAAAGAAAAAGGTGACTTGAAGATTTTGCTTTAGATATCATGTCAAAGCTACTTAATCAATGCTAGCCTGTTAACTTTTGGGATTTCATTGGTGATTTCAGTAGCCTCGTACAGTCTCCTGTGTCCAAACGTCCTGAAGTACAGATTGATCAGAAAGATGTCATTGTCCTGACACCAAAGAATGTTCAGGTATTCAATTTGCTATTCTTTATTCAGTGTCTCATTCTTCCGTATATGCACATCTTAAAAAAGAAATCTCCTTCGCAGCTTTTCCATTGAAAATGATTTTGTTGACAGTCAGTCTGATTACTGTTCAGGCATTGAGAACACTCTTCAACGTTGCTCATAGGTTGCATAACGTATTGGGCCCATCATGGGTGTTGGTGAGTATTTTGCTTCAAGTATATTCAAGAAAACGATCTCATGATAACGGGACATCCTAAACAAATACAGGTTCTTGAAACTCTGGCAGCCCTAGATCGAGCTATTCATTCTCCTCATGCAACCACCCAGGTAAATTTGGCAAAAGCCCTTTGCAGGATTCTGTCTTTTTGGTTGTATAATATAGCTTGATCTTTATTATAGTTATTTTGTCCTTTTAACTTTTTCGCTCATTTGTGAATACTCTTAAGAAGCTTCCAGGGAAATATAACATTATCTTTTACTTGTAGGAGGTCGCAGCTGGAGTCCCAAAGCTGACCAGAGAGCCTTCTAGGCAATACGCTGATTTCAGCATTCTCTCTTCTTTGAATTCTCAGGTAAGCCAAAAAGAAGTCCTTCTATAATTTATAGCCTTGGATTGCTCTGGTCAATTTCTTCTTGTTGAGATTTCTATGGCTAGAGCTACTTATCTCTAGATTGTATGGGGTTGTCTATATTCTGAAATTCCTGGTACTTGACTCATTGCTTTCATTATGCAAGCTGTTTGAAAGCTCGGCGCTGATGCATGTGTCTGCTGTTAAATCACTTCTTTCTGCACTCCATATGTTGTCCCATCAATCCATGATAGAAACTTCGGGCAGTGTTTTATCAGCTTCAAGTAAAAAAATTGGGAGCATCAGTTTTTCGGTGGACAGAATGATATCTATTCTCGTAAATAATCTTCATAGTAAGTTCTTTATCGATTTTCTAAGTTTACCTGAAGAGTATAGTCTCTCTTTTCCATGCTGTCGACTTGTATATTGGTCCAGTGTCCGGATTAATTTGTTTGCATCATAATTTTTGTTTCTTTGCACGACAGGGGTGGAACCACTATGGGAGCAAGTGGTTGGCCACTTTCTTGAGGTGACGCGGCATTAATTATTCTATTTATCTGTAGGATTTCTCCTGACATTGTTCTGGGCTTTATTGACACTCTAACTGCATATTGCAGCTCGCTGAACATTCAAATCAGAACTTGAGAAATATGGCGCTTGATGCCCTTGATCAATCCATATGTGCTGTATTAGGTTCAGAGCAGTTTGGAGAAGATCCGCCCAAATCAAGAGATGCAAGTCTGGATGTGAGATCTCTCTTCACTGTCCTTGCTTAAATTCAAGAGTTTTCCATCTCATGTTAAAAGGACCTTGCTTTAATTGTTTTTCTTTTCTGTTTGTTATTCTTCCTAGGTAGAATCAAAGTCAACTGAATTGGAATCAGTTGAGTGTGCTGTACTATCTTCTCTCAGGGTTCTTTACTTTTCTGCTCAAAAAGCCGATGTTCGAGTTGGTTCATTAAAAATTCTCCTTCATGTACTGGAGGTATTTATACGATATGAAACATTCAGAGATCAACATTTGTTGTCTTCAATGTCTAACCTTTTGTTCCTGCATAAATTTTGTATCATTAGAGATGTGGGGAAAAGTTGTACTATAGCTGGCCTAGCATTCTTGAGATGTTGAGGTATGTTTCCCGCTCGGTTTCTGTTTTTTGATCCATGTATGTGAAAGTGACTTTCCCATTCCATTTCCTGATCCTATTCCTCGCCTATTCTCTTAAGGTCTGTTGCCGATGCATCAGAGAAGGATGTGGCGACCCTTGGGTTCCAGGTTAGTAGAGGATGGCCGTCCTGGATTCGATAAAAGTTAGCAGCAGTGTATGACATTAGTCCATCACTCACTAATACCTTGTTTTTTCTTGACAGAGTCTCCGGGTTATTATGAGTGATGGACTTCCTACTCTTCCGGAAGACTGTCTCCATGTGTAAGATCCTATCTCAGTTTTAATTACTATGTTCCTTACTTTACCTGTTGATAATTAGCTCTCAGAGATGACAACATTTTACCTTGTTTCTATGGGGATTGTAGTTTATAATGTTAATATTTTCAGGTGCATAGACGTTACTGGAGCTTACAGTGCACAGAAGACTGATTTGAATGTAAGTTTAACAGCCATTGGCCTGTTGTGGACTTTGACTGATTTCATAGCAAAGGGGCTCCACCATGGGTCTCTAGTGGAGAAAGGATCGGGTAAATAACTGTCAAATCCTAGTCTGCAGTTATCACCGCAAGAGAAGCTGTATATAAAATATTTACTAAGCTGTGCTGTCCCGGCAGGATTCAATAATGTTGATACCACTCCACAGCAAGCAAATGGTGAGGGTGGCGAAGAGCATATGGCTAGCAGTTCCAACAGGCCAGATTATGAAGCTCGAATACAAGTAGTCAATCATGAAAAATTGTTGTTTTTAGTCTTTTCGTTAATTCAGAAACTCGTGGATGACGAGCGACCAGAGGTATTTGTCATAGACCACTCTTTTGAATGTGAATTTTATATTTACTTGGAAAGCTGGTGCCACTCTATCTAATTCTTTCATTGCTGTCTAATCCTCTAGGTCAGGAATTCAGCTGTCAGGACGTTTTTTCAGATTTTGGGAAGTCATGGGAACAAACTTTCAAAAAGCATGTGGGAGGATTGTCTGTGGAACTATATCTTCCCGATGTTGGATGGCGCCTCTCACAAGGTGAGGAAAATGATTCAATACATTCATATAAGGAGACCCTTGTGACAGGTGAATCTTCTTTTGTAGGCTGCAACATCATCAAAGGACGAATGGCAAGGGAAAGAAATAGGTACTCGGGGAGGGAAAGCAGTCCACATGCTTATACATCATAGGTGACGAAAGGAATTTCCTCCGCATGAAAATCTTTTGCATTGTCCATCTCTCTCTGATAGTTTTTGATACCTGAATTACTAATTTGTATTAAAAGTCTTACCACCCTTCCTACCTTTTAACCTTACCATCCACGTTCTGATCTGCAGTCGCAATACAGCACAGAAGCAGTGGGATGAAACATTTGTGCTTGTCCTTGGAGGAATAGCCCGTCTCTTCCGTTCCTACTTTCCTCTTCTTGAAAGCTTACCCAATTTCTGGTCAGGTGAGTGAACTGTGATTTGCCTTGACTTTAGTCCTTTGGTTTAGCAAAAAAAAAAATTTGAAATATCGTGGAATTTCTACTTCTGTAGGATGGGAGTCTTTGCTTGCTTTTGTTAAGAATAGCATTTTTAATGGGAGTAAAGAAGTATCACTTGCAGCAATAAATTGTCTGCAGACAGCTGTTGTGTCCCACTGTGTCAAGGTAACAGCGCAGTTACTTGAACTATCTACGAGCTACTATTGACTCTGTCATATCCATTTTTCACTATTTCTTAACTTTTAATTTTTTTTTCATGAATCAGGGAAACTTGCAACTCCGATATCTTAATTCGGTCTTGGATGTGTATGAGCTTGTTTTTCAGAAGTCATCGAGTTACACAGGTGACACAGCAACCAAGGTGAAACAAGAGATTCTGCATGGTTTAGGTAATTAATTTTTTAGTGAATTCTCTTCATTTCTGTAGTCTTTTCTGTTGACTAGATGGACAAATTCAACGAATAGAAATGGCTGAAACAAAGGTGGTTTTTCCTGCTGTAACATTTGGATCTTACTCTTTTCTTAAAAAAATTCTTTGTCCAATGTTTTGACAGGTGAGTTATATGTGCAATCATTGAAGATGTTTGATGATAAAATGTACATGCAATTGTTGGGAATTGTAGATCTTGCTATAAAGCAGGCCATCATAAGTAGCGAAAATTTCGAAAGTGAATTTGTAAGTCTATTTTCCTATCATTTATTATTTGCCTTCTTCCTCTTAAGTACTCAGTTTTAAAACTTGGCTTCTTGCGCTCACCTTATGCGTATTACATTGATGATTTTAAGGGACATGTCCCCCCTGTACTACGTCATGTTTTGGAAATCTTGCCTTCTTTGGGTCCTCCTGAGCACCTTTCATCAATGTGGCTAATCCTGCTAAGAGAGTTTTTGAATTATCTTCCACGGGTTGAGTCTGCTCTGCCAAATGAGGAAGGTGAGAATGAGCAGAGCACCACAGGTCACCATGCAAGTAAGTACTTGATGTTATTTTACTCTTAACAATTGTTAATTCTGATATTCGTTTATCATTTTACACCAGACAGTGAAGTAGCGGGACATAAAGCTGATGGTTTATCTGACAAAACAATTCCAACCACAAGAATTACGAGTAATATGTTTGCAGAAAAACTGATCCCTGCTCTGGTGGAGCTTCTCCTTCAGGCTCCTCCAGTCGAAAAGTATACCCTGTTTCCGGAAGTCATCCAGAACCTGAGAAGGTAAACTTAATTTTCATTAAATGCCATCATTGTGCAGATGTCATCGCTCTTCTCAGCTCAATGGTCTCATAACATAAGTTTCAAAAGGGGAAACACAGGTTATTTGGTCAATCTGTTAGCACGTGCGGTCAACCCAAACCTCCCTTTCTTCTCTCAAGTTCCACATTCCTGCCTAGAATTGCAAAAACAAATAGTTTCTGATTTTTGTAGAGTGGTTGGGTTACCATGTCTTTTTACTATCTCCAGTTGTGTATGGGAAAGTGTGTGCACTCTACTTATAGGATCAATTTGTTTTTCAGGTGCATGATGACAAGACGAGACAATCCAGATGGTTCGCTCTGGAAGGTTGCAGCTGAGGGCTTCAACCGTTTACTTGTTGAAGATGTGAAAATATGTTCTGTGGGTGGTGACACAGACCTGAAAATTAGCAAAACTTCTCGAATACGCATTTGGAAAGAAATTGGAGATGTTTACGAGATATTCCTTGTTGGTTATTGCGGACGTGCACTTTCTTCAAATTCTCTTCCTGCTGCAGCGCTTAAGGCCAATGAGACCCTTGAGATGGCCTTGTTGAACGGTCTTGGTGATATTATCCTTAAGTCGACCGTTGATGCACCCCGAGAAGTGAGCAGCTTGGAATTCCTGTAAATTGTTCTCTGTTATCCTAATGTTTTGATTTCTAACATGATTCGTCCATATCTTGAATCAACAGGTCCTGGAGCGGCTTGTTTTAACCCTAGACCGCTGTGCATCACGTACATGCTCGTTGCCTGTTGAAACTGTCGAGCTGATGCCTGCCCACTGTAGCAGATTCTCCTTGACATGCTTACAAAAATTGTTTTCCTTGAGCAGGTAATCTCGCGTTGAGCATGCATATTTCTTTGCTTTCTTGCTTGCTTTCTGCAAGGACACTCATACTTCATAATGTGATGGTTTTTTGCTCCTCTTAGGAGTCTCTCCTCGACTTTAGTTGCATATTTTCCGTCAAACACATTGATATGCATAAGTTTACGTTATTGGCTTTGTACATATCATATAAAACGAGAGAGAGTATTCATTCCTACTCCCATGTTTAATATACCGAAATGATTTTTTAGTTTCAGCTCTGAAACCGAGAACTGGCACTCAACGAGAGCAGAAGTGAGCAGGATCTCTATCATCACGCTAATGGAAAGATGTGAATTCATTTTGAGTAGATTTTTAATGGACGAAAATAATCTAGGTAAGGGTCTCCATTTCTAATGAACCATAACATGTTCTTTGCTTGCCATTCTGTAATCTGTGGTTATCTTTTGGCAGGTAACCGTACAATCCCAACAGCTAGACTTGAAGAGATCATCTTTGCCCTCCAGGAACTTGACCGCCTCACCATTCATCCCGAAGCTGCTTCGGTGCTTCCGTTGCAACCCTATCTGAAAACCATCCTACGCGAAGATAACCGTGACACCCGTGCACACCTACTTGTTCTATTTCCATCACTGTGCGAGATTGTGTTATCAAGGTAATATCACTTCTTTAATTAGAGTTTGTCGTTCGAAACACACCCTTTTGGAGTTCTTGATATCTAAAAGGGTGACATAATCTCTGTATGGTCCCTAAATAATCGGGAATCAACCCATTAATTAGAAAGGAAGAGAATCAGTAACTTAAAAACGTACAAGACCCTATCAAATTTTGATTCTGAGAGTTTTGTTTCTGCCAGGGAAACGCGGGTGAGAGAGCTGGTGCAAGTTTTATTACGAGCAGTTGCGACGGAGCTAGGTCTGGAAAAGGTTAGCCCATCCAGTTGATGGCAACACATGGCAATGTTACTCAGAACTCTTGAGCTTCAAACTTTCTCATACAGTAGAATCTTGAGAAATTTTGGTTCTCTAACACTTAGGTTGTGTGATTTGTTTTTAGCTTGTACCGAATTTATTCCGTGTGCTGTCATATCTCTCTTTGTTCATGGGACTGTTCTTCAGTCTTTACCGCTGAGAATACAATTGAATTATTCCCCGCCGAGTATTATGTTAACTATAGTTTTGATCGTTAAAGCCGGTCTTCACCAGTCTAAACTGCTTTCGCAGCTGGTCGTTTACTTGATCCCTTTTCTTTACCATGTTTGTCAGTCTGTGTGTGTCAGTCTGATTTTCTTGGATATTCATTGAATTAATGTAGCTCCATATTAAACAGGTACAATTAAAAAAAAAAAAAGCTTCAAAATCTTATACACATCAGCATATATACACAGTTTACACACTTGGTGACTTCTCTATACCATTATACCATTACGTAGTTCCCAAGAAAGGAGAAGTATATCACTTGGCCTGATTAATCCGAGCCGCTGCAGCGACAGAGGCGGCAACGCCGGTTGGGTAAGTTGTGAGATGAGGATCGTTCCTCATCTCTGCGCCTGTGACCCCCTCTGCGTCTTTCCTTGTCGCTGGTTTGTCCGACGGTAACTTGCTACTCGCTCCCTTTCAGAACCATTGTCCACAAAAAAAGGATCGTTAACACGTATCAACAAACATTTTTCAAAGAAAGCCAAGAATAATCGGTTTGGTACATCATTTATCAAGAAACTGGATTCTAGAGCATTTACTCACAGTGAGAACGTCGGCGAGCGTGGTTTTGTCGTCGTCGGAGGTGGCTCGAGCGTTAAGAGTAGCAGCTGATTGAGCGGAGGCGGCAACACCTCCGGGCATGATGTTGGTCCGTCCCGTTGCTCTAACCTCGGCCGCTTGAATGGCAGCTGCGTCACTCCACTCGACAGGCTTATTACCTGCCGTGAGAACCGCCGCCTCTAGAGCCTCTCCGATGGTTATCGATCCTTCCGATGCCTTTTTCGGGTTTAGTTCTCCCTCCGCCTACATAAATTTAAGGTTCTATCTTACTCGATTACATAGATGATACTAGTGTGTTTTGATAGTCATACATATGTTGAATTGTATAACACGCATAATCATCGGACGATATATACGGACCTGTCCACCGGAGGCCTCGGCGACAACACTTTTCTCTTTGTCCTCCGCCGCGTCAATGCCTCCCTGCGTCGCCGGAATCTTTTCGGCCTCTTCTTTTACGTCATGAGTTGTAGGTGTCTCCAGCTTTTCTGCGCTCATTTCTTTCTTTTTGGTCAACCTAAATTTCTCTCTTTTTCTATACACAAATTTATATTTGTAAGGTTTCGAATTTATCCAGTTTTGCATGAGCCATTCAAATCTGTGATCCTCTTACGCAATAAGAAGAAGGGTTCTCCTCGTCTTTCTCTCTGTTACTTTCCTGATTTTTTCCCTCCTAATTTAGCCAATAGAAAGCTTGAATAACATTCGCTTCGGTTTTTACTGAACCATTCGATTTCGATTGAAAACCGATTAATTTCACCGGTCTATATTGTTGTTCTCCAGAAATGGATCGATTTCGTCTCGGATATAAAGACAAAAGACAATAAACCCCGACATTATGTTATAGCCACTTAACCAATCATACCCACCCGGTTTAGCTTTGTGGATTAATCGGTTAGGATCCTAATTAGGGTTTCAAAGTTTCAGCATCACTAGAAACAAACAACACTTGGTTCTTCTTCCCCATCTACACAAATTCCGAAAATCGTGAAATCAAAAAGAAAACCTCATATTACTCGCCGCGACGTCCTTGATCCCATCTGGTTATTTCACCGTCTCGCCGACGTGTCGACAATACTCAAATTTCTGATTTCACAGGTTTTCATTTCTTTCTCTCTCTCTGTTTCTCATCTCACGAATTCTCCACAGATCACATAATTGCGACTTAGGGTTTTCAATTGAATCAGTGCTTGCTCTCTGATGCTTCTCTTGTCTCGTTGGATCTTCTTCTGCTCTGAATTTTCACTCGTTGAAAAAAGTTCACTTTTTTAGTTAGTAAGCTCAGTGACATTACATTAGTTGAGCAAACATTCAAATCGTAAGCATCAAAGTGTTTTGTTTGATCAGTCGAGAGAAGAATGGCATCGAGACCCAGTGGACCAGTGGTGTTGACGGCGGAGGAGCAAGCCGTTCTGAACGAAGGAACTGGTTTGATACTTTCACGGTGGACTGCCATGAGAGCCGCTGTCGATAACGGTTGGGGCGGCCGAGATTCTCATGAGAAAGCCGAGCGCACTGTTTCCAATGTTCTCGATTACTTCATCCATTTAAAAGGTTAATCTTTGATGGACTCTTGTTGCCAAGCACTTTCATCATTTCCCTCGGATTAAAGATGTTAGCTTTCTGATTACTTCCCTCTTCGTATGTTACCTGCGCAATGCTTCTTTTAGATCCAACAATGGGCTTTGACGGATTAGCTGACATTCTAGAGAATGGTCTTAATGAGCTCAATACTGTGGCTGACGATGGAAGCCTCGAGGAGGTATTAACACTCTCTTTTTCGATTATAATGCTAGTTTCTGATTTTTTTGATAGTGTTTCTTCCTTGGTGATGCAACTGAAGGTGACAGAGACGCTACTGGATTTGTATTATGAATGCCTCGAAGGCAACTACCAAAGGGTTGAGAAACTGAGGATGACTACTTCTCAGACGAGTGCAAGTGTTGTAAAGGTTTGTATTCTCAGACATTACTATCTAGTTTCTTCTTCAGTTTTTTGGGTGACATGATCCATGTCTGTTTGATTTTTTTTCATTATTTATAGATGTTTGGTGATTGTGATGGTATATCGAATTTTATACATTGGTTTGGTTCCTCCGATCTATCTAGGTAGGATTATTTCCGAGACTTTGGAATTGAGGCTCTTGTGGTATTGCAGGTTTCAAACGGTGACGATGATGAGGACAGCGATGATGAAGATGAGGATACACACATGAACAATGATCAAAGCACAGACATGATGGTTGATGCATCTGAGCAATGCTCAAACCGGAAACCGGAAGCAATGCCCGTTGATGAACCGAAAGCCGACGATGGCTGGACGGTAGTTCCAAGTAGGAAAAACAAGGGCAAGAGGAATTAAACCGGTTCTAGGTCCCCAAAGTGCTGTGTAATTTTGACAGTTTTGAGTTGTTTCCTTTAATTTTATAATAATAACAGATGGATAGTATTGAATTGTATGATTTATAGATTCGTTCACTTTCTAAACCAAAATCTGAAAAGATGCGTGTTATTGTTTTTCACATATTATCTACTTCAGTTTCTCTCATTCACTTGGAAGGATTCTCCTCACACAATTTTGTTCATGCTCACAACATAGTATCTATTTATCTAAGTCACATTCTTTGTTACGGTTGAAAATGAAACAATAAAATGATAATTTAAAGAAATTTCTTGATCAAGAACTGACCCTCCTTATCGTCTTTGATAACCGAGCAAATCCAACCATTAGGAGTAAATAAAGTCAACGGTCATTGTAAAAGAAAAATCAAGACACAAAGACTAAAGAGTTTTTGTCCTCAAGTACATCCAGTTGGTTTTTGCGTGTGGCTGACGCATCTGGTTGCAAAGACACCAAATGTTGTTAGTTTAGCCCAATTTATCATATCTTTTTGGATGATGCTATGTTTGAATATTCACCGTATCTTAATTAAAATTGATTAAAACGTTAACTTATATCATTAAATAAATCACATGTCATATTGTTTTTATTTTTGGGATCGTATACATGTTTCTTTACCAACGTGTAAAATGTTTATAGGAAATAATGATATCAGTATTTCTTTAAACTTTCATGTTATTTATTCTCTTATAATGAAGTACACCAATCATGCTTTACACTTATTCATCACTGAATATGCAACTTTCATTGAATTTTCAACAGTGACCAGGAATAGTCAAACTGTAATCTTGGTACAAACACCTCTTTACCGAACCAAACCGAATCACAAATCGCCACTCACTCAATCTGCAATTTCTCTGCTTCATCTCTAACAGAATCGAACAGTTTAGTCGATAAATAACGCTCTCCTCCACTGGGAAAAATCGCCTGAAAGCAAAAACCAGACGAGAACCGGAACATTTCATAAACTGGTTTAGAACTCGGTTAACTCAAAAAGCATTACCACAATGAGTTTCCCTGCGTTTTCTGGCCTCTTTGCAACCTTTAACGCCGCTACTGCTGCTGCTCCAGAGGATATCCCCACCTGCAAAATGAGTGATCACGTTTATCATCTGGTGTTTTTCTAATTTCTGGTTTATACAGACAAATAAAAGAACACTAAACCAATTGTACCAACAATCCTTCTTTGAGAGCAAGAAGCTTGGCTGTTTCAATAGCATCCTCACTTCTCACCTAAACCAAAAGATTTCACTTCTCAAAATATTGTTCCACGTTCGAGAAGTAGATAATCTCGGCTAACTTACTTGAATGACTTCATCAACAATGGTTAAGTCCAAATTGGTTGGGATGATACTAGAGCCAATCCCTTGGATCAAATGTGGACCTACAAATATGCATCAAGACAAGAATTACTATATGTTTCAAGATAATCAAGAAATCGAACTTGGACGAGAGAGATGTGTTTATTCCCTCACCTGGTTCTCCACCGCTGAGTACCGGACTTTCTAGAGGTTCCACCGCATAAACCTGTTTAGTTCAAGATTTTAACATAACTAAAACATCTTTCTTAAGATTTTTAGTTTTCAAGAAGTAGTCAAAGTTTTGTGAACCTGAATGTCTTTATTCATCTCTTTGAGGAACTTCCCAACTCCAGTAACAGTTCCACCGGTTCCAACACCAGCAACCAATATATCTACTTTCCCTGCTGAATCTCTCCATATCTCCGGACCCGTGGTTCTGTAATGAACCTGCAAGAAAGAAATCTTAATAGAGAGAGAGAGAGAGGGAGCGAGACTCAAAGAATAGAGATTTTTGGTGGATGCGTGATATGATATAAAACCTCAGGGTTTGCAGGATTTTCAAACTGTTGTGGAACGAAACCACCAGGAGTTTTGCTTAGTATCTCTTCAGTTTTCTTCAGCATTCCTGTAATGCCTATCTTCATATCTGTGAGATGAAGCTCTGCACCTAATGCTTTTAGAATGATTCTCCTCTCTAAGCTCATCGTTGAAGGCATCAAAAGGTTCACTTTATACCCTCTTGCAGCAGCGATGCAGGCTAAACCAATCCCCGTGTTACCAGCCGTTGGCTCAATCAATGTACTCTTTAATCAAACAAAAACAAAAACAAAAACTATCTAACTCTAATGAAATATGGAGAGATTATTATATATGGTTTTAAATGTTATTTTCTATTAACCTCTCCGGGTTTAATCAACCCTTTTTCTTCTGCATCTATGATCATACTTAAAGCGATTCTGTCCTTGACGCTAGAGCAAGGCTCCATCATCTCAAGCTTTCCGGCTATACGGGCCACACAACCATCAACAACTTTGTTTAGATACACCATTGGTGTGTTACCGATCAACTGCAGAGAAAATGAAAATGGAAAAACAGAGCAAAGGATTTTAGACAAGTTCTTAATTCCAAGAAATCAAATTTGATACAGGAGAAACTAGAGATCTTTACTTCAGTGACATCGTTCTTGATCGAGCACCGATCTTCCATGTTGATCTGTCTTTGAAACGCCTGCTGGCTTAATATATGAAGTCCAAGAACCATATATAGAAGACGCAAATAAAAGATTATTCTAAATCCACACCAGACTGTATAACACAGACATATATAGATTAGTCTACTACGGTGGATGTACTTTACAGTATAATAGTATTTGTATATATATGGTTACAAGAACAGAGCCTGCTTCACATGTGGCGCACACTGCGCGATGCTGAAGTAGTAGAGAGACGACGTGTTGCATAATGTGACATGTTGCATAATGAGACAATAACATCTACAAGTTTGAGTCATACTGTGTGATATGAAAACAACATCCAACACAACTATTTTGTTTTGTTTTGTTTTGTTTTGTTTGTTGCGAAGATAACATCTTACACTATTATTTAAAGCTCTAGGGTCGTTTTCTCTTATTAGATTATTAATATTGTGTAATCCGGATTGGCGGATAGGATTACGATCATCGATCGGATAAGATCACAAAGGACTAACTAATCAAATTTTCTTAACACAAAGATTCGCATATGCTTTTTCACTTTTTTTTAGTGGAATGGAATTGTTATTGCAAATGATAAAAGATGTCTAAGATACGAGTGAAGCTACTAAGATAGATTATGATTTGTCTTTAGAACAGTTTAATGAAGAACAACCTATAATTATTCATCATCGAACATGTAACTTTTTAAAGATTATACAGTGGTCAACATCTTGTACCAAAATTATACAGACAGCCAAAAGCTTCTTGCTCTCTAAAATCAAATCTTGTGTACCAACATCTCTTACCGAACCAAACAAGAATCACAAATTGTCACTCATTCAATCGGAAGATTCTCTGCCTCATATCTAACCGACTCGAACAATTTAGTCGACAAATAACGTTCTCCTCCACTAGGAAAAACCACCTGAACACAAGTCGATAACCACCAGGTTTCTTGATTAACTCGGTTTAATTTCGGTCAAATCAATGTTTATTGTAGGTTAAGGGCCGGTTCTGCTTACCACAATGAGTTTCCCTGCGTTTTCTGGCCGTTTAGCAACCTTTAACGCAGCTGCTGCTGCGGCTCCAGAGGATATTCCTACCTATCAGATTAATAAAATTGCGTTTATCATAAACTCTTTCAATTTTGGGTTTACACCGAAAAAACTAACGTTTAACCAATTTATACCAACAATCCTTCTTTGAGAGCAAGAAGCTTGGCTGTCTCAATGGCTTCCTCACCTGTCACCTAAAAACCAAAATATTGCAGTTTCTCAGACTATTGTTTCATGATTCGAGAACTATATAATCTCAGATACTTACTTGAATGATTTCATCAACAATGCTTAACTCCAAATTGGTTGGAATGACACCAGAGCCAATCCCTTGGATCAAATGTGGACCTACGAATATGAATCAAAACAAGTATTATTATATATTTTAGAGATAATCAAGAACTTGAACTTGGACGAGAGAGTGTTATGTTTATATATTGTCTCACCTGGTTCTCCTCCGCTGAGTACCGCACTTTCTTTAGGTTCCACCACACAAACCTGTTTATCAAGATTCTAACATATTCAAAACAACAACAAACAAACAAAAACAATTCTTACAGTTGTTTTGGTTGGCTTTAGTGAAGGCTTATAGTACCTTAATGTCTTTATTCATCTCCTTAAGGAACTTGCCTGTTCCAGTAACAGTACCACCAGTTCCAACACCAGCGACCAATATATCTACTTTCCCTGCTGAATCTCTCCATATCTCCGGACCAGTGGTTCTGTAATGAATCTGCAAGGATTCGACCATTAAGAAGCAGAGAGAGAGAGAGAGAAAAAAACAGAGAATTGTGGTTGATTGATGATATTATATATATAAACCTCAGGGTTTTCAGGATTTAAAAACTGGTGAGGTATGTAACCACCAGGAGTTTTGCTTAAAATCTCTTGAGCTTTCTCCAACATTCCTGGAATGTGAGAGTCTGTGAGATGAAGCTCAGCACCTAACGCTCTCAGAATGATTCTCCTCTCTAAGCTCATCGTTGAAGGCATCAGAAGAATCACTTTATACCCTCTTGCTGCCCCGATGCTGGCTATACCAATCCCGGTGTTACCACCCGTTGCCTCAATCAATGTACTCTAATAAAATAACATAAACATTTCATTTCCATATGTGAATTCTAATGGAGAGATTATACGTTGTTTTTTGAGTTGTTTCTACTAACCTTTCCGGGAGTAATCAATCCTTTGTCTTCTGCATCTTTGATCATACTGTAAGCGATTCTGTCTTTGATACTAGAGCAAGGCTCCATCATCTCCAGCTTTGCAGCGATACGGGCCACGCAACCATCCACAGTTTTATTCAGATACACCATTGGTGTGTTACCAATCAACTGTGCAAAACGCAAAAAACACATATATAATGCCTCATCACGAACAAAGGTGTTATCCTTATTCCAATGAAAAAAAGAGCTAATTGATATAGAAGAGAGTGTTTTTTACTTCAGTGACATCATTCTTTATCATGTACCGGTCTTCCATGTTGGTCTGTCTTTGGAACTCCTGCACAAATCAGCCACAGTCTACTTAAAGGGTCTATCTACAGTTCACAAGTAAGATTCAGGAGATAATTTGGCACGTAGGATTTCATGTTAAAGCCCAAAGCAGAGTGATGAGTATTGTTGTCTCAGAACTATAACTTACAATTCGGAACTCCTAAAGTAGATGAGAGACAACAAAAAACAACTTGAATAGAGAGACGCTATTTCTTGAGTAACATAAGAAAGATGACAAGCCCTGAGTTATGTCTTAAGCGACGATAAAACAGTGAAAACCAGATAATTTGATACCAAAATGAGGAAATGGTATTATTAAGAAGATATCACTGTGTCTAAGCAAAACTAGCACGAACAGAGCAGAGCAAAATGATTTTTTAATGGGCAAACGGATAAAGCAGAAAGAAGCAAGAAAGAAAGACGTCGTACCTTCAAAGTTCAAACGAAAGTATCAATGAAGATGAGACAAAAGACCGCTAAGTCTAAATCCACACCAGACCATATTTATACACAGACATATATATACACTATATGTATTGTGTATAGATTAGTATTGAGTGGTTGTACAATAGAATAGAGTATTATCTATGTATGGTTTGTTTTTCTTGGAACAAAAAAAGTCTCAAACTAACTCTTTACAAACAGAAAAAAAAAACGTTACCAATGGTATTCATACATCTTTTAGTAATATATTAATATTACAAACAAACGTAATATACTTAATTCATAATATTAATTTTGAGTTGGAAATGAAGTGTCGTAATCGTTGAAGAGTTTTTTTTTTTTGGTTTTTCAGTTCAGTCATTGAGCAAAATCGTCTTCCAAAATGGTGTTTGAGGAGGGTATGGAGGTGTGATGAAAAATGCAAAGAACTTTCACATGTGGTGAACACAACGCTGATGTTGAATTGTGTGAAGCATGAAGACAAGTTTGTGCCATTGCAAATAATATCTAAGGCTAAGTTTTGAATGGACATCTAAGGCTATGCTTGAATGAAGACAACATCTATTTAAGGCCTAGAATGGAGACAACATCTAGGGTGAGGCAACCGCCTTTATGTTACGATCCATACTTTTTTTGTATTTGTTTTTGCGTTTGTATGTTGCAACTTTTAACAGGAAATTTAAAAAAAAAAAGCCCTTTTTCATATTTTCTTCAATGTGAAGAAGATATAAACCATGTCACTGTTCTTTAAAGTTGCGCATATGCTTTCCGACCTTCTATTGTAAACCACTAATAAAAAGTCTTACTGAGAAACGAAAAAGGACCAAATTTCCAATACTCATAAATCTTCAGTTGATAAATTTTATGACAAAGAGTTGTTGTAATAACAATTGCAGCATGTAATAATGGGAGAAGACATTCACACCAAAGATTCTCTACTTGACATGTCTACATCACACATAAACATTATTTGCTTCTTTTTATTATACGAGAGAGAGTTCTTATCTTTATTGAACTGATAACTCTACCCAAAAATATATAAAATATAATAGTCTAATACAAAGGTTATGCACAACCCCCACTATCATTCACCCCTAATGGACAAATCTAAAAACATCCAATCAAGAAAAAAAAAACTCTAAAAAACCTAGATAGATTTTATCACCATCAGAAGAGATTTAGTACTCAGATTATTAGTATATAGCTTGCTAACTATACCTCACTCACCACAAGACATCTTCATGTTCTTTCTTCCTTCTTCACATTGGCTCATAACTTAGTAGATCTTACAAGAACTCATTACAGTCTCCCTCATGCATCATCCTCCATTAGGCATTGTCTTCAAGTCATGCACTGTGGCTCTAATCTGCTCTTGAACCAACTCTAATCTCCTCGAGTACACTTCCAACTCGAGAATCTGCTGTCTCCTCCACCGTTCTTCCCCTACTCCCTTACCTCCTCCTCCACCACCAAACCCTAGATTCATTGACGGCATTAGCATCGGGCTTAGCACACCCGTAGCATGAGCACCACCTCCTGGGAATCCTCCTACCGCAGCCATCATCATCCCCGTCGTACCATTCATCATCTCTTTGATCAGCGGCGACACACAACTCCTCACCGTCTCTTCTATCAATCCCCCGAGATTCCTTCCCTCGCTGAATTCACCAAACGCAGTCACATTCTCGTTGAGGTTAACGTTTGTAGACGCATTTGGCATTGCCCCGTCACAGGAAGCGATGGGCTTGTCTTCATCGATCTTCCCTATCCTTGATCGCGATCGTTTTCTCGACGCGCTGCTGCTACTCACCGTCACTTTCTTCTCCAACCCGTTTTCAGAGTCGACGTCCACACTTGGGTTAGCGACTGAGACGTTGAAAGCTGAGCTGCCATTGGTGTTATTTACATGGTGGTGGTTGGTTTCCTCGAAATCCATCACGTTGTTGTCTTCGAAGCCTATGATTTTTCCGGTTTGGTTCCAGATTTTCCTAGAGATGTCGAAAGTGGCTTGATCGTGAGTGCTTTTGAAGAATACCTCTTTACCGGAGCTGATCTTGCTCATCACATTCCGGTACTTCTTCTTCAGCCGCCGGAGCTTCTCCACCAGCTGGTTCTTGTTGAATTCCAGCTGAAGCTTCGACTTTATCTGCTCGTAGAACGGCGCCGTGTCGGGAGGGTGCGAGCTGCTGCCTCGGTGGCTCGTTATGTAGTCGAGGAAGCCGCTGAGGAGCTCGATCTCGTCCTCGTCGGTCCACAGCCTCTGGAAAAGCCGTCTCGAGTCGTCGATCGGTGGTCTCTGATGGACGATCTCTGTCATGCGGTGCCATTTCGGGTCGGAATCTACGTGAATCGCGGCGACAGGTACGGCGGATCCGCCGGGAAGAGCGACGGTTACGGTGCCTTTCGAGGATGACTTCGCCGCCGCGGAAACCAACGGAGCCGTGGAAACGGCAGAAACCATAGACGGAGAGTTCAGATCTTCGTACTCGGGATCGTCGTCTTCGGCCTCGTTTGTCTCAGGCATAACCACGTCTTCATTCCCACGCAAATCCTCGTCGGAGTCAGTCTCTCCTCCCCCTACTCCGCCACCAGCGCTGCCGTCTTCCTCCAGTTCCGGCGATTCCACAGAGAAAACAGCGTCACGCTCCTCCGATGCCATCTCCACGAAAACGAAAACGAAGCAGCCAGAAAAACGAAAGTGGGATAACGAATCGTTGTAGCTCCGATCGAATCAGGACAGAAAGAGAGAGGAACCAGATCCAGATGGAGATTGGAGAAAGAGGAATTGGGTTCACGAGGATTGATACGCTTGTGTGTTGGGTGGTAGGGCATGAGAATCTTCGACTCGGACAGGGGTATTTTCGGAATTCACGAAATACGATTATTATGACTTGAGTATTGCAGGTGGTCCAGACCCGTTCCCGTGCTTGGGTTGTTGCGGTTTAGTTGAAGCCTGATCATGTCTGAAAACTAAGAAGTCAAAAAGTCAAATGCAACCGCAACCGCAACAGCTGCTGATCACGGAAAAGCGTTCCTCAAACGCGATTATGTGTATGAGTGCTGAGAAAAAAGCTGCATGTATGCAACGTTGTTCTTGTTCGGCTAATGTTGTTGGATTTATAAGAGTGAAACTTAACAAATGTTGATTCGTAGAAAACACATTCGATGTATTTTCAAGAGTGTGGACTTGGTTTTGCACAGAAAAGAAAATTGAAACGGAGAACAAAGTATTTACCAGTTCAATTTAAATGAAGAGTAGGAAAAAAAAAAACAAAGTCAACAAGAACCGAAATTGAGTTTTTTTTTTTCATTTTGTACCTTCTGTATTTAAAATTCACAATTTGAAACAGATTATTTGGTTAAAGGAAGTGCATATCTTCTTCCACTTCTTCAAATTGCCATCATGAAGAATAAGGAAGAAGAAGAATGTGATGAAGGAGAAGGAAGAGAGCCCTTAGTATAAACGGAACTTCTCCTTAGTGTTCTGGAATACTTGCTCAGCAATCACAGCGCCATTCCCGTCTGCTTTCTTGATCACCAGGTTAGATTTCTGGTAAACCCCAGTGCCTCTCAGTGCATCAGCTATGAAGTCATCGAACCCGATGGCTATGGCTGCTTCGGCTTTGGCTCCATAAACCAATCTCTGCTCACAAGTAGACTCGTCAATTAGACCTCACGGTAACATAGAGATTAGAAAGATGGGTTTATGCAGACATGCTTCTATCTTTTTACCTTGAGTCTCGAGAGATGGATGGCTCCGAAGCACATGGGACACGGCTCACAAGATGCATAGATCTCGCATTCCGATAGCTCGATTTGGTTGAGTTTCTTGCATGCCTGCGCATTGACAATGGATATCAAATCATTGTTAGTATAAACGGTTTTTAGCAAAGCTCCAAAGATACCTCTCTAATGGCTGTGACTTCAGCATGTGCAGTTGGGTCTGTGTATTTCAAAACCATATTGTGGCAGCTAGCGACGACCTCGTTCTTGTGGACGATGACCGCACCAAATGGGCCACCATCACCACACTCAACTCCCTTGTAAGCTTCTTCAACAGCTTGGGTTAGGAATTTGTGGTCGCTGTCGTGCACAGCTGATCAAACACAAAGTAACAACATAAACCACGGCAACCCTTTCAAGCACCTATAATTTCAAACTAACTAAGGCTGTGGAAGATAGAATGGAATATGACAAGGACGCATCACAAAGTCAAAGGTTCTTGTGAGTTAGAGAAACGGGATCTTTTTGCCGTAATGAAAGATATATATGGTTGAGCTAGTGGGAAGTAGAGGAACGGATAAGCTTAATATGTGTGTCCAAGTGATGCATCAACCATTATACGAACAACAAATGATCAAGCTTTTCAGAAAATTTGATTGAAACCGTTGTTGAGGAAATATTTCATAAGTCATCACTATTAGTAATGCATCGAGGTCCATACCTTGTTGGTGACCGGCAAATGCAGTAGCTACGGAGATGGTTCCGTCTTTTGCTTCCACTACACAGTTCAGTTCAATGAGAGAGCAATCAGAACCTCCAAACACGAGACATCAAATCAAAAAGAGCAAAGAAACAAAAAAATTCAAATAGTCATAGCTCGTGTTCTACGCACAGTTACGGCCATTGATCAAACAAACGACACACAGCACAAGTTAGCAGACAAAAGAAGACATACATTACTTGTGATACAAGTAAAAAATCGCTAGCAGAGGAATTTGCCAACAAAGATGGCACAAATGACCAATCTACAAGCCATTGTTACTTATCTAAAAGTCAAAAAATCACCTAAGAACAAACACAAAGTATGATCATCAATGCTGTGATGACCAGCATATGTTAAAAGTGTGATGAATATATAAAAGAGTGGCTCACTGTCACATGTCGCCTGTGATTGACAACGAGTAAACTTGTGTCACAGACAGTAGTAACGTGCGGTGGCTTAAATTCTGGTAAAAAATTTCAACTGCATGTGAAAAGTAAATGACGCAAATAGGAAGAAATAGTCCAATCGAAGGAAAATTCTAGATTCCCGATCTGGAAATGGAACCGAAAAGTGGAAAATTCAACGATGAAAAAGTTTGATTCGCTTCATGAATCCAAAATCGCAGGACAAAGATGATCTGGGGAAAAAAATCGAGAAGACGAGCGACTCGGTTGTGTAATCCAAAAACCAAACAGCTGCCATTAATAATCAAAGTTCTTCTCGGATGCAAAACAACAAATCTCGCACAGAAAATTCAAAATTAAGGGAAGAAAAATACTCCGATCTCGATCCAGAGAATCAACGGCAATCATAAGCATAAAATGCGAAGAGTAGAGGGGAAAAAAAAAGTGAGAAGATCGGTAATGGTTTACCCTTGGCTTCTTCCATGACTGAGGATTTTGACGGATGATTTCGGGGAAAACTC